CTCACGTGCCCTACAGTTCCTCGGCTCAATTTGATGTAGAGCAGCGTGAATGCCAGTTAATGCCACTAATATGGGTATTAGAATACAGAGTGCAGGAAATCAGCAATGTAATTCAAAGACGGAAGTTCTCTTTTATAAGCACATTTACCGTTTAAATTGGAGAACGCAAGAGGGGAAGTAGCTTACGAGCTGGCTATGTTCTTACCAAGTGTTAGCCTAACAGATGGTCTTAGGTCTATTTTCCACGACTACGGTCATCACACACACACACACCCCACACCCACACATAAACACACGCACACTTAGTTAGTGGCGAGTCTATTTGCGAAATTGAAATGCCACTGCCAACATCTCGGCATTTAAGCAGACATTCAGTGTGACTATGAAAGCGAATAGAAATGCGGGTGCGGGTGCGGGTACGGGTGCGGGTGCGGGTGAGTTCAAGAACCTTTTTCTGCTGTTGTTGTTATTGTTGTTAGCCATGACTAACTGAATGATGGAATGACTGAATGACTGATAGCTGAAAGCTAAAGTGCCGTGCAAAATGCCCGATTCTGCACTTGACCGACGCCCAGCCAAAGACCCCGGGGAGAGCCGAAAACTAAGAATCCAAAGCACAGCTGACATCAAGTGGCGAGACAGAGTTTAAGTATGAGCTGCTCGCTATAATTACAGAAGAACAAGAAGAAGAAGCAGAAGACTTCCCAGTCACCGGGGCTATAAGCCCTAGGCCAAAGTCAAAGCCAAACTCAAAATCAAAGTCAAAGTCAAAGCCAAAGCCAAAGCCCGAGCCAGCAGATAGTGTTTTGTGTGTCGCCTACGACCGAGTCATTTGCTGTCTTTACCTCTGCCTCTCAAGTGCATGCATGTCTGTATGTGTGTTTCTCACGACTTTAGCAGCAGCAAGAACAAGAACAACAACAGCAGCAGTAGCTGCAAAACACGCCGGTAGCTACTGGCAGCTAGAGTCAAGGGCGAGCGCAAGGATTGGGGGGCGCACCAGATCTTAAGCTCAACGAGCACACGCGAATGCACATTGGAGCAAGTTGACCAAGAGGCTGCAAGCTTAATTCAAACGGCGGAAAACTTGAACTGAATTAGTTAGAACGGTAACAGATTTATTAAAATTTTTAAATTATTAAAAAGAAATGAACTTCTCTGTATTTGCTTGACAAATCTACTGTCCAGCTAGCATTACGAGCTATAACATATATGTGTATTATTAAAAAGAAAATATATTTATTAATAAGAAAACAATTTATTATTATTATTTTCACAGCTCCACGGAACAGACAAATCAACTCAGGTTTCTGCATGCAAGCATTCGCCCTAGCTAGGGATGTAAAATATTACATGTAAGTTCTTATTTATAATTGAAAATTGTTTTTCATTATTTTGCTATTTACTAGAAATTTATTTATATTTATACAATAAATAAAATTAATTTGATTCGAAAAAGCAAAGCGTTCTCTCATATAAGACTTAGTAATATCCGATATTTATCTTAATTTTGGCGCCTCGACTGTAATTTAAGTAATAGTTCAAAGTGGAAACTTTCTTAAAATTTGTATGTTTAAGAAAATTGATATCAAACTCAGAATCTACTAAATAATTATATTTATATATTTCATATTTTTTGCGAAGCTCTTGAAGATTAACATGTTTAGAACCTTAGATTAAATTTGTGCTCTATGTTGATCACAGGCAGACGAAGAGGTAGCTAAGGTTAGGTGCGAGCAGATTAAGCGGACCATGTTTATTAGTGCGTGTCTTGTTACAGAGAGGGTCTCTATATATACAGATACATACATATGGGAGTTAAATAAAAACTTCACACATCTTCACCCAAGGGCGTCGTACAATGGTGGAGGGTCAATGCACAAGCTGGCGGTACGACGACCCGACACTAAGTAATTAACAAAAATAACAAAAAATTGAGCTGACGAAAGTCCACATTAGATCGCTAATGATCTACCGTGGAAGAATGAAGACGATCGTATTACAAACTTACTCAGACCTTAGCTTTAGGTATTGTTGTCAATTAATGACTGCGATTAAGAGTCTCTTGCAGTTTCTCTATATACAATGTGGCTAATAGCGGATAAGAAACCTTTCGATTACAAGATACTCTAGCTTATATGTGTATTTTTTTTATATATGTATGTAACGGGTAGAAGACTATCGTATATGTTTCTGATTTGCACAATGAGATTCTCGATCTATCTTTCTGCCGCTCCGTATGAACGCGTTGCTCTATATGGTATTTCATTGATATCTCGGGGTATATCTTGACAATAGCATTCTGACATGATTTTTAAGCATGTTCGAGTTATTGTTATAGTCTTAAATTTTAATGACCTGCTGTAAACAGATTTCATACAAGTATATTACGAAAGCTAATTGAATGTATAACTCAAAAAATATAATACGTAGTGATTATAGTAATGGAAACTACGGCGAATTGGTTTTGAATCGATGGTGCACTTGATTTACGCTTTTTCTCAACAATATTTATGCGACCTTCAATCATGGGATAAACAACTCTATGCTCCTTATAGTACTTGGTTAAGATTTCTCTATCTATCAGTTCTAGCTCCTCAATTTTCGGATCTGTGGCGTCCTTGAAGTACTTGTAACCATCGCCTCCGTTGACAAGGAAACTGGGCACAATCACCCAATAGTGCCGCTGCTTCTGTAAGGGAAGATATTCGGGAATTCGGCAATGAGAGCAGAGTACTTTTATTTTTGTGATGCGCATTCCCTTGGGTAGATTGTAGTTGATGACCATTCGAATACCAGAGACCTGTAAAAATCCCCCATCTCTTTTAGAGTGACGCAGGGTGGCCGAGTACTCTAATGCGTTGAGAAGATCTTGGCCTGTAATGCGACTCACTACTACATGATTGCCATAGGGCAAAGCCTTTACGATATCCAGTTCTGATATAGATCCATCTGATCCCGGTTCGATGCTCGCGCGTATACCTACCACAGAGTTTACTGAAAGGCTGAAATATGTCATCATTTGAGTCATTTACCTCCCGCATTAATTAGGGCTATTGCTGCATCTGTCCAATAAGCTCCGCCGTAGTTCTCGATGACACGTGCGTAGACGAAGGCATCTGCAATGAAGCTGCCAAAATTACACTCGCTTTTTCGACACACAGCAGGATCCCCATTGAGCAGCACCTTTGTAGACCCAACAATGTTTTCATCAAGCCTATCTATTAGAGCTCGCTTTCCGGCCAACATAGATTCGACTCTAGCATCGTGCTGTATCGAATCATCCAAAAGTATGGGTGCGCCCGTATATTTGATCAGATATCCGCCACTGTCAAACTATTTAAATTTAGTTTTATAAATATATGCCAGATCGTACATTTTGTATAAGCTTTACGCCTATTGTGTACTGCTAGAGCCCCTAGATCCATCAATTTCAGTAGTTCTCCTTACTTACCTCAACATCAAGTTTGCCCAAATATTTGCTAAATCCATATGCCTGAACGACCGGCACTTGTTGGCCATTCGATCTGGTCACCACAGTCGGATAATTGCCCTCTGGGATCTCATCACCTGGAGGTGAGCCAGTGTATAGAAATGTATTCGAGTGTCCACCAACGACGATGTCAACACCTAGGCAATTTTCGGCAATTTCTTGATCCTTTTTGTAGCCTGAGTTTCCGAGGGCAATTATGATCTTAACACCCATACTGGTTAGTTTTTCCACCTCGGCACTAAAGGGACAAAATATTATAATATTATACAAACTCTTTAGACTTTAGACACACATAATATCTGGTATTTCATTGTGTATCTCAACTTGAAGCCCTGCCACACCTCTCATTGTCTTGGGTGTAATATAGCCCACGATTCCAATTTTCATTTCGAATTTAGTGATGATGAACGATTTGACTAAATTTGTTACATTTTGTAATATTGGATTCTTCTGGAAATCCATGTTGGTGCAGACAATGGGAAACTTTGCCTTTCTAAAGAAAGGCATTAACCCATCGACGTTGTCATCGAACTCATGATCGCCAAAAGACTGTTTCAGGCAGGAAATGGGTGAGTCTACCACGAATATAAGAATTGCTGTCTTTGTAGGTTTTTACCACAGCATCTGGTTCGAGCATATTCAAAAGTTCCGCTGCCAGATCTCCTTTATATAAGGTGTACCAGGGACTGCCTTGAAAGGTATTGCCAGCATTCAGGTAAATCGTTGGACCCTCGGCTCGCGCATTGGCCACACTAAAGATAATGAAGATAGTTCGATTCGAATTCCAATTCCTAAAAGAGACTCACGCTGTAGCTATCCTCGCCATGCCCCCAAAACACAGACCCCTCTCATCGTCGCCCTTAGGACATGATTCTACTTTGCTCTTGATAGAATCATATCTGCCTCGTATATCATTGTTGTGTACTATGGAGAACTTAAAGCCTAAATTCAGTTTGACGAGCAATAATAATATTATGAATATCCAGTAATCAAAGTTCCACTTTAAGGCCATTGAAGCAGCTTTGAAACTTCAATTCATTTGTTTCTATAATATTATTATTTACTGTATAAATGATTGAAACAGATCAGTCAACTATGAACTAGGAAATTTGACTAGCAAATATATATACGTTTATAAAGAAATTAATATCTATTCTTATTTAAAGGACTGGTATTCCATTTGACATACTAATAATACTTTGTTCCGACTTGTGAAAGAATTTCAATTGAAAGTGAATAATGAATGAAGGCAGAAAGCAATTCCATTATAAATGCCATGTGAATCATACAACGGAAGCTTTGCAAGTAATTCGTTAAACAAAAACAAAAACAAAAAAATTAAAATAAACATTTTATATTATGCAATTTGTGTTTTTGCATCCGTTTCCCAAAGGGAAAGGTGTATGTATATAAACAGAATCCGCAATGCAGATTCATTGCAATCACAGCATTCGAATCGTGAGAACATTTCCTATATAAGGATCTTTAGCAACATATCCTCAACAATATGAAGGTCATCGTTGTAGTTTTGGTTGCTCTCATCCTGGCTTTTGCTTCAGCTCGTCCTCAGGTCGAACACGGTTCAATTTATGCGCCCAGTGGGGTAAGAAACAACAGCACCCAATTGTAGTTGAGCCTAGGTAACGGTTTATAACTCTCTTAAACACTTACAGCGATTCGCCAAGACTGACAATTGGGCAGCTCCACCTGTGGACCTCAGTCTACCCATTATATTCCTGCCAGAGGCAACGCCCATTAGGGAAACGCCACAGGAACCAATGCTCACATCGCGTCCGCGTCCCTTAAAAAAGAATTGAATTATCTGTAGCATTATAAAGTAATTATATTATATTATTTAGTCTAAATGACATACTAAAAAATGATTTATATTGTTATTATAAAATTATATATTAATTACATTTCATTTATAAATTACCCAAACAAATCATAATAAAAAAATCTTACGGCACACATTATGCATTACGTAATTTAATTCTTAACAATTTTAATCGGCTTTTTATACAACAACAACACAATAAAGGGAATATCCAAATATATATATTATATATATATATATATATTTTTTTTAAGATATGCAAGACTCCAATTAACATTTAAACTGAACACCCAAATAAAATAAAATATTGAATCACAGGAAAACATGTTTATCAAGATAAGATAAGGCTGCTGGGTTCACCGCGACATAGAATCAGCAATGAGTAGTTTGAGCGTCATTTAAATGTGTCACAAGAGAATTATTTTATATGCCCTAAATATGTCAGAGTATACGAACAATTTATATTTTTAAAATTAAAACAAACATATCACCAATAAAATTTAGTAAAATATATGGAATGGTGCAAATAGTGAAACATAAAACATTACATAACTATAGTAATTTGAAACTAAAAATAGAGGGGGAGTGTCCTCTCTGATGTCCTATTCTATAACTCAACTCTAATGGTATAATTTAAGAGCTTAAGCTGATCTAACGAATGCTGAATTCTTTAAGCACTGGAATGCCATAAGGAAGTCGTGGTTCGACGAGTAAGTGAGCGAACGAATAGAAATCAAGGCCTTTGACATATAATAGCAAAAACTAATTAACTGATTAAATATGATATCTGCAACATAATTGTTAATGGCCTAGATGAGAAGAAGAAGTTCAAATAGGAAAAAGACATCCGTATACTGCTTAAAGTATATGTATGTATGTATGACAAAAGTAATAGTTTCATCAATCATAGATGTGTTGCATCTTCCATAACAAATAAACATATCTAGTTCAGGGAGTCCCCGTGAAAATTAAAAATCTTGTATTCCCTATCAAATTTGTTTACCCAAAAAAATAACGTGTTCCGTTTTCTTGGAAGAAGGTACACAAAATATGTATATATACAGATATATATGTATATCTTTATATATGTCATACATTTGTTGCTATTATGCATGTCGCTAATTAGTGACAATAAATCCCAAAAACCAGTCGACACTTTATATTATAAGCGTCGCGGCAACTCGAAACTGTAAAAGCATCCAGTTTTTGTACGATATTGTTTGTGACTTACATATGCAAACACACATATAGCTCGAGACGAGGGGCGACTAGCCTATAAATTTTCGTATTAAACATTTCTAATTAAATTTGCATGAAAACGCAGAATCAAACAACGATGAACGCTCGCCGCTTTATAAGCGCAACGCCTAACATCTGTTTCTCGCATTGTTATTGACGGAACCGCACAGAAAGGTTATTTCTAATACTAGAGAAGCGCTTATATAGCTGATAATTAATTATTCATTTATAAAAGTGTATATAGTGTATAAAATAAATATTTAAATGACAAAATTTCTTAAGTGTGATTAGGCATCAAAGTGAAGTTCTAGAAGTTCTAAAATATCCCTATAAAGGCAATTTGATCGAAATAGTGCCAGCAAATACGATATTCGAATTTTTTGGTCCTTCAACATATGGTTTAAATTATTTGTAAAAATAATAACAAAAAACTTTATTTTAAAGCTGTGCCTTTTTATTCCAAAAAATTTTTTCAAATTATACAAAAGTTTAATTTATCAACAAGTTATTGCTCGTTGAAGAAACTTGAAAAAAGAATGACAGAGACGGTGGTGTAAAATAAATTAATAAGAAATGTTTACAAATATATAAAATATCCTAAAACTAATTGATTAAAGTTACATTAAAAAGAAACTTTTGTTTATATTATAATAAATTAAGACGTGTTTTACTATTTCCGAATTTTAAAAATTGATTTTGTAAAATTGTCAGATTCGGATTAAGTACAATAAAAACCTTCAGAATTGTATATAATCAAACGCTTGGCTACTAAATAATGTTGACGTGTGTTAATCAAATGTGATTAAGAAACAAAGTGATTTGAAATGTGATTTGTGTAAACCAATTAATTACGTAATATCTGACTTAACTGAACTCCATAGCCAGCTCAGCCACAGCATGTCAATAAAATGATTGAATTTTTTTTTTTTTTTTAAATTGTAATCTCCTCGATCTGATGAGGTGCAAGGTTTTCCGGTTTTACAGTATTGTCTAATCATCGCTCAAGTGAAAATTATTAAGCAACTGCAATAATAATAAATATACATTAATGAAGATTTACGTTTAATTTTGTTTCATAAAGACAAACCTGAAGCCGGCTAATGAGCTGATGAAAATTAAAAGCTTATAAAATGCATTTGACGATGCCTGGCAACAATTCTCAATGCGAAGTTCTAAATACTATTAAATAATAATAATAAATTAATTAGTTTTCTAAAAACTTAGATAATATCTCAGAGTCAATCTCCCAACGCTTTCTTTGGGCATAGACAACTTCTAGATTTAAACTCACTCTAACTGAGTTGACCAAAAATAATCATACATGGAAACTATTTAAATGTTTCTCTCATGCTTACAGATCATAATGAGACAGTTGCTTATTTTCACCCTGTTCGTGGCCTTAGCCTCTGCTCAGTTCGGCGGCTTTGGTGGACACTTTGGTGCTAATCTGGGAAATGCTGCCAACCAACTGCATCAAAAGGTCTCACAGCTTGTTAGCACATTGCCTTCACCACCTGCACTCACAGATGTAAAAAATTTTGGTGATTTTTTGGTAAGTACTTTTGAGCGAAGCAAAATGAATTGAGGATAAACAACATGAAATATGTATTCCACAGGCGCAATCTGGCAAAACCTATGCCTCGGCAGCTGATCGCCAGTTGAGAGAGCGCATCTTTGGTGCACGAAAGAACTTGGTTGATGCCACCAATGCGGCCTTCAAGGGAGGAGCTAAGACCTATGAGCTGGCTGTGAATGCATTTGCTGATCTAACGAAGGCTGAGTTCCTCAAGCAGTTGACTGGCTTAAGGAAGTCATCGTCCGGCGAGTAAGTGAGCAAACTAATCAAAGTCAACTCTCTTGACATATAATAGCAAAAACTAATTATGTGCTCAACTGTGATGTCTTCTTCTTCTCCCCTGAATTGCAGGCAAAATGCCAAGATGCATCGCCTGGCACCCAACCTGGCCGCCAAAGAAAAGCTGCCTGACTCCTTTGATTGGCGTGAGAAGGGCGGTGTTACGCCCGTCAAATTTCAGGGCGACTGTGGCTCCTGCTGGTCGTTTGCCGCCACGGGCGCTATCGAGGGCCATGTGTTCCGGAAAACGGGTAAACTGCCAAATCTGTCGGAGCAAAACCTGGTCGATTGTGGACCAAGGGATCTGGGTCTAGATGGCTGCGACGGAGGCTACCAGGAGTATGCTTTCAACTTTGTAAAAGAACAGGATGGCATTGCCGTTGGCAGCAAATATCCCTACGTGGATAAGAAGGATACGTGCAAGTACACAAGCAGCTTGTCGGGTGCACAAATCACCGGATTTGCAGTCATCCCACCCAAGGACGAACAAGCCATGAAAACGGTGATTGCAACTCAGGGCCCATTGGCTTGTTCGGTGTATGGCCTGGAGAGTTTGCTGCTGTACAAGAGAGGCATTTACGCGGATGAGGAATGCAACAATGGCGAGGTGAATCACTCCGTACTGGTCGTTGGCTACGGCTCTGAAAATGGACAGGACTTTTGGATTGTCAAGAACTCGTGGGACAAGATCTGGGGAGAAGACGGCTACTTCCGCTTGCCACGTGGCAAGAACTTCTGCGGAATTGCCACCGAGTGCAGCTATCCCATTGTTTAATGCCGAAATATCTATTTAGCGAAATATATGCCAATGTATTGGAAGATTGGAATTTAGAAAATGACGCACAAATAAATTTTCATTGCTTTAAGACTTAATAAATTTGTTCGAATTTTTAATTTGAATGAGGGAAACAATTTCATATCAATATAAGTCATGCTTCAATTTAAATCATCAATTTTAAATATCTCCACGTTTTGGTTGCGTTTTTAAACTTACCGCCAATCATCACATTGGAGACTCCAGGGCTGCAGTATAGAAAGACTGACGGCTTCAAGAGATGAGCTTGCCACCTCAATTTGTGCTAGCATGAAATATGTAGTTATATAAATTTTTTCATTAATTAAGCTAAATATCAGCTGTATTCTTAGCTCTTGAATGTGTTAAATAATATATGTATATTCAGTCAAGCGTGAAGAAAACACTGCTCAAATTTTTCGGCGAAGAGCAGTAGTGGCTCCATTAAGTGAACTGGTTCAAGTTCATGTTCTAGTTAGTGTTCACTCACTCGTGAACAACCTAACACTGCTGGAGTGGGAAATAAATAAATAAATATAAATAGTCGCCAAATAAACTGTTTATTTCGCAACAGAAACAGCCAATTAATATGCATGAAAATGCGGATACCATGAAAGATGTAAATTGCGCGTGAATTGGAACGCAAATACCAAATGTTGTTCCTGCAGGTGTGTAGCTACAATTCTAACAAAACAGACAGAAACCCCAAATGCCCAACCCACTTTTTGGGAAAGTGGTGGGCGTTGTCAACCCCGTGTCACAAGGCTGAATTCTCATTCACGTTCTCGTTTTGTTCACTAACAATTCCCATTGTTGAAACATTGATCGCATTGATAATTCAACTGTTCTTTTTGTGTGCGTTTATTGCCTAATTTGCCTAATTCGAATTCCTTATTGCAGAGATGTGCTCGCTAGTCTAGTGCATTGATATTAATCCAAAGAAACCCCCAGGGTCATATGCATTTTACCAACACAAAGCCAACATCATATACCTAATTAATTTCCATATACCCTACTATTGACTAACTGATCAAACATCAAAATGGACGAAGACATTATGAATGCAGTAGAATCTCTTTTCGGCAAGGATGTTAAGATTGTGGACTGCGAGACATCGTCCTCGGTGCAACAGGAGGAGGTGCTACTGATCAATGGGGTGCCGGTCAAATTGGATGGACTGCCGGCGGATGATGCCAGTGCGATTAAGAGTGCCCTGCTTGATGGCCAGATGCCGGCTGTGGAGCATTTGAATCAGCTGCTGTTCCGTGCTGGACTCGCACAACAGCCCATTGAAGTGGAGACATCGCTGACTGTCAAATCATCGCTGACCACCACAGAAGAGGTGCTGGTCTCCCGTAACGGGCAGGTGCTAGACGAACGAACTGTGGAAACCAAAGAGCACTTCAACCATCAGTCACACCAAACAGAGATCTGGCAGCCAGTTCGACAGCAAAACGCATTGGCACGTGCGACGCCAGAGAATGCGTTGAAATACCGAACAAATTCCAATTCCACGTTCTCCTCACAGACTACAACAGATGGAGAGCAAAACAGACCAGGCGATCCCTTGGGTCGTCAATTGAATCAAACCTTTTCAAATGCCTCAATCATGTCGAGCAGCTCTGCCATAACTGACTCGGATCAAGTGATTGGCTCCACCTCTGCCTCCAACGTGTCAACGGCCACAACACTGGGCGAGAAGAGCTCGAATATCAGCAGCTGTGACTCAGGCCACGACGGCCTCTTCCACAGTGTCTCAATGAGTATGCCCTATACGAAAATCAACGTTCGTGACACTCAAACGGATTCGATGTACTGTGACATTCCCAGCTCGTCTGATGAAGCTGACGTCGCTTCGGTCGCTATGCTGGTAAAGGCAGCACGCCAATATTCATATAATAATAAATAATTATAAATTTTAATGGTATTCCATTTGCAGAGCGCGCACCTACAAATCACTGAGCCATGTGATTTAGTTAACGATTGCCAAACAACGCCAGCCTATGCCAAAGACTTGCCAGCCGCTGGTAATCTGAGCACACTGGTCACCCTCCTGGCCAGCTGCAAAAACGAAGATATGGAATTTGCATTTATATTATGCGCACGTTTGTTTGCGCCAGTGCAAGAGCTAATGTCGCTGCTGCTTCAACAGTGCCACGGTCAAGAGGATGATCTACGACGTGTGCTGAACCACTGGCTACGCATCTGTCCCAATGACTTCCGGAACGAGACACTGCTTCAACAGTTGCGCAAACAGAACGGCAATAAAGCTGTAAACTCTTTTCTCGATGGCCTGCCTGACGTCCTCGACAAAATTGATGCAAGTCATCGCTCCCAACTGCAGTATTTGCTGGCCAAGCAGGCCTCGGCCAGTTCGTTGGGGCGACAGAGCAGCATTAAGTCACTGAAGCGTTTTGCTGCGAATGTTTATAAAACAGATAATGTGATGACCAAGTGCAGCAGTGCCTTCGAATTGGCTCACCAACTATATGCCATTGAATATGCCTATCTCTCGCAGCTACGGCTGGAAGAGTTTATCGAGTTGATAAGCAACGGCGGGTTTAAGGTGTGCATGTCGCAAACAAAGGCCAGTACGCTAGGCTCCCAGAGCACCTCAGCAAAACAGGCTGAGGTTAGCATTGAATCCTACGTGCAGTGGTTCAACCAGCTGTCCTCGTTGACTGCCACGGAGATACTGAAGGTGAGTAAGTCGAACACGTTTCAAATATACCTTGTTTACATATTCCATTTCGTTCCCCAGCTTGGTAAAAAGTCTCAGCGAGGGCAGATGATTGAGTTCTGGATTGAAACAGCATTGGAATGTTTCAATATCGGAAATTTCAACAGCTTAATGGCTATTTTGACGGCTCTCAATACAACAGCTATATCGCGGCTTAAGAAAACTGTGAGTGCAACTCTTTCTCTACTAAGGTCATATCAGTTGATTATAAACTAAAATTTTCTTGTAGTGGTCCAAGCTGCAAACAACTAAGTTTGAGGGCTTGGAACATCAAATGGATCCCAGCTCCGATTACCAGAACTATCGCTCGACCATGAAAGCCGCCATTTGGCGCTCCGAACGTGAAACGGCTAATAAAATAGAACGTGCCATTATACCATTCTTCTCGCTATTTCTAAAGGATATCTACGCCATTCATGAGAATCATCCAACCAGGCACGCATATTCAAATTGAATTTCTTAAATTGAATTTACCGTAATGGTTAATGCATTTTTAGATTCGCTGATGGGTTCCTTAACTTTGAGAAGTGTGCACTTCTTGGCACGCAGCTGCGTAACTTTTATAAATGCCAACAGCTTGAGTGCCCTTACGAGCAGCTGGCCAACGTCGTGGCCTATTTGCAGAAGGCTGAAGTTTTTACTGATGACGGTCTTAAGAAAGCTTCATACGAATGCGAGTCACCAGTTGATGCTGGCGAAAGAGAGCATTACAAAGTGCTGAAAGCTGCAAAGTAATCGAACATATTCGAAATATACCATAAGACAGATTATTATTTTTTTTCGGGCGAATATCGAATCAAATCGAACCTCGCACAAACTTCCACAAAGTTTGTACACATTATTTTTTGTTGATACTTCCATGTTGCATTTGCAATCGCAATAACGATAATAACTTAACATAAAAACGCAATCGTATTTGTTAATTTGTACTTAAGTCTTTAGGCTACAAACAGACACAACACACATACACACACACACATATTAAACTGATTGTAAACAATTGGTTGTTTGTATTCAAATTGAAGCTCCAATAAATTGACATATAAATAATATCATTGTGCATTCCTCCTAGAACACTTAAGAATATATTCATTTATAAAAGTGTGTAAGTACTAAATATTAAATTGATTCCAATAGTAGAGGACATTTTAATAAAATGTTTGATTATGCGATTTTCTTTACCAACTAACTATATAAATAAACTTAAAATAACTGATTTACGTGAGGAATCAATGGACCGTCATACTCAACGAATTTACAGTGAATACTCCAATGGAAAATTATAGATGTTCAGAGTATTTCATTTCAAATTAACGTATGGTAGCAAATTTTTGAAAGTCAACGGTTCCGAATTTGCCAAAGAGCTCGAGGGGATAGTGCTTGCTTTCTCCGCCACAAGGGGCGTGAACGCGAATTTGCCGCATATGAGTGTCACGGCCATTTTGATGATTCGAAATTACGGCGATTTGCAGCATGAAAGTGCGCAGCGACTTCACATTGCCATCTTTAATGGGTATCTGCACCCAGCCATTCGGCTCGGTCAGATCTATGACCTGAAGCTCCTGCAGATCATTGAAGTTGGTGCCGGAGCGTATCGAAATTCGCGATGGAGTATAGCTTTCGTCCAACTTGTAGTCGGTGTATATGTAAATCTGGCTGATGTTGGTGCGTTTGTGGAACTGGATGTTGACCAAGTGAGGCAGTTGGCCATCTGATTGCCAGTATGTGTCCATTATATTATCACGCAAGCGTTCAACGCCGAATCCTAGTTTGAAATCAGTATTTTAATTTCGCTTTTTATTATCATTCTTATTTGAAGCAAACCTGGCTTGCAGGATGACAAGCTCCAAACAGCTTGTGAGCCTACTTCGCGTACATAGCCAAGTCGTTCCTCGGCGAGTGGATCCTCATCGCTGGTGGCAGCTGGTTTGGTTGTGGACTCTTCGTCAATAGTAGATGCCATATTTTGAACAGTAGTTCTTAGGAAAACGTAAACAAAACTGCAAATATTGTTTATTCAATTATGATTGACATTTTCCCAGAGAATTCTTCATTTTGCAGTTTTCAACACTGGTTGCCAATCGAAAACAGCTGACGGCAGTTTAGTTCTCAAATGGCTCGGGACGTTCACCAACACTGCATCACAACAACGCACATGTGCATGGCATTTAGAGCAGCATAGAAAATAAAATAAATTAATAATGGTGCGAAAACTTAAATATCACGAGCAGAAATTGCTCAAAAAAGTAGATTTTATCACATGGAAAGTGGACAACAGCGCCAATGAAAACAAAATCCTACGACGCTATCACATACAAAAGCGCGAGGACTACACAAAGTATGAACTCAATATTTGTTCATTTGTTGACAATTTAAATTTATGTTTCTGTTTACATAGATACAATAAATTGGCGCGTGAGATCAGAGAGCTTGTGGAGAAAATAGCCAAACTGGATGCCACTGATCCCTTCAAAGCAGAGGCGTCTACAATGCTAATGAACAAACTGTATGCGCTGGGTGTTTCCAATGATCATCTCAGCTTAGAGACCGCCAGCAAAATGTGTGCGAGTAACTTTTGTCGCCGACGTTTGCCCGTGGTCATGGTTAAACGTGAGTTCGAATTAGACATTTATAATGCGGCATAGTCTAATACTCCAAATTTACAATTGCAGTGCGAATGGCGGAGAACCTTAAGAATGCAACCGACCTCATTGAACAGGGCCATGTGCGCGTGGGCCCAGAAATGGTTAAGGATCCCGCTTTCTTAGTCTCTCGCAATCTGCAAGATTTCGTCACATGGGTTGATGGTTCCAAAATTAAGGAACATGTTTTACGTTATAATGATATGCGCGATGATTTCCAAATGTAGAAACTTTATCATATTTAAGCTCGTTAATATATGAAATTTAAATATTATTTGTCTTTTTTCTTATATAGTAAAATCTTAATGTTTTGACTAAGCTTACGCTGAAAAAATTAATAAACAAATTTTTTCAACCAAATTGTAAGCTTTTGATTTCTATTTGTAATTAAAAGAAAATGCAGCTGTCAACGTAATTTGTTAAATTATTCATTTTTAATAACTTTATTACATTTCATATAATAATGTTTAGATCGCATTAATATAATTCATTAGGTTGGAGCCTTTCGCGCCAAGGGCGCAACAGCGCCGACACAGACAAATATATATATAGTACATACATATTATAAACTTGTTTATCAATCAAATCCTCGTATTATCCCATTTTATTACAAATGCCCGAGGCCGCAGATAATAATAATCCTTCTAATTATGGCGGTACACACAGTTTTAATGCCTTATTAGTTTGTCACTTTTTAGATTGCTAATTAGCTCGATTATCGATTGAAAATTCATTATTTAAACAAATTCAAATCAAATTATAGTAAAGAAATGAGTTTATTTATATATGCATACTAAATATAATAAATAAACAGATTTTAGCTGCACTGTTGAGCGGTCTGAAAAGTGTTAAGGGATTTTTTTTACGGAAGTACAGACAATATTTTCTAAATTCATGTCAATGGCAGTTATTTGCTAACAAGTTGAAATATCATTTTCCAGGGGCGTTAAAAGTGACGCTAAAAGAAAATTCTTTAAAATATAGTAAGAAAACAACTTAAACAAAGATTTTTGAATAATAATCCTCGTATCTTACGAATTTTTGTTTAGTTCATTGAAGCATTTGACTTTCCAATGAAATCCATGTGTGTGTGTGTCTTGTTAAAATTTTAACAAATTAATTAAATAATTAATTAATTTAGTAAATGAATTGTGTTTAGCATTTCCATAGTTTGTACAACAAGGACGACAGCTAATAAATGTGTCAGCCAGTTAAAAGTCTTTTTCTTTTTCAGTTTGTTGCATAGGTATATATGTATGTATGTATCATTTAAATATTAGTTGTATTATTATTCCTTTTTAAGTTTGCATAAAAAGTAAATATTAATTAGTCTTACAAATAAATAGCTAGTGGCGTTAAAATTAGTGTCGACTGGCGAATTCTTTGTTCTTAGCCCCCCATTCACAATTTTCGGGGCGAAACAACAATATTTCGCATAAAAAACTTCATAACAATTTAAAACAAATTAATAAAATAAAGATTTTCTACAATATCTCTTGTTCATTATCTTTGAATTATCTCTGTATGTGTGTAAATGTGTTGATGTGTGTGTATGTGTGACAAAAAATTGTAAGCTATCATCCGCTGGATCTTATTTTGGCTCTTATATCGGGAGTTATTTCTATTGATCGATTTGTTTTTGTTTATCTTTCTATATTATGGTGTATACATTCAAGTTAAATATCTTATCGCATTGTACTAATATGAATACAATATATATTTGTAAATTCCAATTTGTTGCTGTCGCTCAAACGTGTGCAATTAGTTATTAAGCCATTATATGTCATACCCTGACCCTGACCCAGACCCTGACTCTAATCCTGACCTTGCCCTAGAGTCCTGCCCCGAAACCCAAGCACTAGTGCACTCTCTTGGTGTCGTAGTAAAAACTTTTAATTCGTTTTGCTTTCGCAGTTGATTCAAAGTTGCAGAATAGTTAGCCATGGGCAAAGTAGCTTCGTACTTCGACTTAAATCACAAGCGCCATGTCCTTTTTGCTGGGCAACTGTACCCGCTTGCCCTGCCACAGGGAATTGTGTATTGTGAAGGCGTCTATCGTAACGGTCAGATGCTTTGTGTGCACCTGTGAGAAGCATTTACCACCTGAGTTGTATCTGCAAGAAAATACATTTGAAATTGTCATTCACAATTTAATCGATTGGGCATAAACGACCCCAAATACTTACTTGAAGAATTTATCGAACATGACTTCGTCGACTTGACTAGGTCCCGTGCCGTACAGCTTCGTTACTTGATCCGTTTCGGGCAAGTAACTGTAGAGGGCCCGGAATTGACAGCCCGCATCCCGGAAGAGGACAAGAAAGTGTTTGGCTTCAGAGCGTGCAATCTTCTCCAGAACTTTCTGCTTGGCCTCCCGATTGACGGCGCCAGGAAACACACAGTACTCAACGGCATTTAATATAATGCCGCGATTCGATTTGGCCGCTGGTTGTTTGTATAGTTTTGGACCTACGAATGAATATCACATATATTTTAGTATTCCACTACAATTGAAATTTGCTATCTAATCGTGGATTTCTACTCGGGTGTTAATGGCAAGCTTTTTCAGTTTTAAATACTTCAATTCTTTTTGTTTTTGTTTCTACTCTGCAAGCAACGTGCATACAAAGATGATCTCATTGATCTATTTCATAGAAATTTTGCCTGTGCTGGACTGGATTAGTAGAGCAGTTGTATGCATGTTTACTGTTATTATTTGATACAGAAACTCAAAATAATTGACATGAAATTTAGCTAATACGCCGCAGCTTGTGAATGAACTTTCTAATTTATAATTATTGTGTACTTACATTTTGAACTAGCTATTCTAAAACATTCCAAAATTAAAATAGATACAAATATATATCACAAAAAAACAAAAACAAAATTATATAAAAACTTAAAACTATTGAAATTGCTTGCATTTGATATTAATAAAATTTAGTTTTCTTTTTTTTTTTTTTTTGCAAGTGTGCAGCGGTTAATTGGGCCGAATTGGGGTTATTTAGAATTTCATTTTCATATAATACTAATAGTAATATTATAGAAGACACAGCTCGGTTTGACTATCGAAATCGTGGATTTGACGACGTAACGGAAGATCGAATGGAATTGGAATTACATCTAGAAAAACGCGCGACGTCCCTACGTAGTACATGGATGTACGTTTGTAAACGGCATATACATATGTATATATGCGGATAAACTCGATATGTATGTTTAATGTCACGAAATCATAATTATATGGAACTGGGAAACAAATGCACATAAAAGACGAATAAAAAACCAATTGGTAGATGGTTGGAACAAATCGAGAACTGAACAAATGTAAATGAAATGAACGAAACAAGTGAATATTCTATGAGGCGTTCCAAAGTGATGTACAAATGATGTATATGCATGAAGAACCAATATATGAATATGGTGTATATGTACGATATGATGTTTGATTGATTGATTGACTGATTGTTGTTGTGGATGTATAACTTGAGAATTTTTTGAGACTAAGTACAAACCCGAGTATTCCATGTTAGCATTCGCAGTTAAAGACGTATCGCTTGATCCATCATCAAATCCGCGACGCTTCGATATCAAACCTGGCGGCAAAGAGCCTGGTCCAGAGGGAGATGGCATATGCCTACCTGATGCCGCCATTCCTGGTGACGGAGCGCGTCGCGGCGGAGTGGCCCGTCCCAGTCCCGAATCTGTGTCTAACCGATAATCGAGCAGATCGTTGCGTTCATCAAACATCAGTCATCAAGCATGCATTGAGACACAGAGGTCACACAAAAGCCACCAACAACCACAGGCAGTCAGTCAGTGAGAGAGACACAGCGAGCGAGCGTGAGAGAGAGAGAAGAGCCGTCCATGCAGTACAAAAATGCATTTGTTTCGATGCAGTTTCGATTTGGTTATTTGGTTAATTGCCACAGGATGATGTCGATGGAAGCGATCGAGCGATGAGTGTTAAGGCATTTATCGATTCAGTTAATAGATTTTTAGTTTGTTTCGATTTTTTCACATTTGTTGTTAATTCGGGTCATTTTTGTACACAAGTTTTGAATTGAAAGAAACGAGAAATAAAAGAGAATGTGTGCATTGAATTTAGTTAAAAACAATTTTGTAGATCGTATATACTTAAGGCCTAAATATGATCAGTCTGAGAGACCAGCAGAGAGAGAGATAGATAGAGAGCTCGAGTGTGCTTGTGATTGTGAGCGAGTGTGCGTATGTTGATGTGCGTATATATATGTGTGTGTGTGTGCGGTTAATTCACAATTTCGGGAATAAATATCACAATCCTGTTCCCCACAACAAAATTCGGACAATACAAGTCGAAAAGCAAACCAGAACCAATTGCGAATTATATCAAACGATTGCCAACTGACAACGGAATCTTATTCAAGTGTTCAAATTATAGACCCCGCCACCGCTTTCATTTTTATAGTCGTTGAATTAATCAGTTAAATTTAAAAGAAAAAAATCTATAAAATTATATATTTTATATAAACTATAAATATAAAAGAAAATGAAATAAAAGACTCATTAGAAAAATCTAATGAAGTGAAAAAGGCCTACGTTCATTTACATGACAAAAACAAATTCAGGTACTTTTACATATTAAAATTTTAATTTAAACCTACAAAAAAACAAATTTCAAAGAAATATACTTTTTCAACGAGAGTAATGCAAGCTGGAATATTTTCTGTTGAAGTCTAAAACTAACTAATAACTAATACGTTGATTGTATTTATAAATGCTCAAAAAAGAGGGGAAAAAATAAAATAATATACATAGCAGACTCATAGACCAGACTGACTCATTTTGAAATGTTTGTGGTTAGTAAAAAAAAATATACATATGTATATATATGAACTATAATTGTTATTCTGCATTACTCTCATTCGATAACAAAAAACACTTTATAAGAATATATTTGAAAAAATATATAAATTAACAATATATATTATTACCAACTAAAGAAATATTAACTATTATGAAAGAAAATATTTTAAAAAAATACACAAAGTACGAGTACAAAAATGTAAACTTTCATCAGCAAATGACAATTAAAGATAGTAAAGAAAGAAAAAAAGTTAAGATATATGTAGCTCATAACTCACACTAATGGATAATGAAAATAGAAACCTTTGACCAATGCAGAGTAAAAAGAGGAAAAACTAAGATAGACATAAATCATAATTATCTGCATTTAACCAGAACCACAAAAACGTAGAAATAAAGAGTTTGATATATCATTTAGGCTACCACACAAAATAAGATACAAGTTAGGTAGATAGAAAATAGAGTAAAAAGTAAAAGGCAAGCAGCTTTAAATTTTTGTTTTAGCTGTGGAACGCTTCTTACCGCACAAATTCATTAGCGAATTGGATTTTCTGCCACGGAAATTAAGTGTGCTCCCCTTAGCAACTGATATACGCGATAGAGTGCGACCCCTTTCGACGGCTGGCTCTGTAAAAAGTTGGCACCACGGGCGATACGAGAGAGCCGAGTGCATAATACGTTTATCAATCAGGATTCAGATTTCTTTAAGGTTTTGTCACAACACAAAATATGATGATGCAATTGGTAAACTTAAACTTAAGCGACTTTTTGAAATGTATGTATATTCATCAACCCCACCCCCAGAAACCATAATAGTTAGGACTTAAACCAAAATTCATATATCTAAAAAAAATTAGAAAAAAAAAACGCTGACCTCTGTGAATTTTACCCAGTGCATGATTTTTTTAAATGTGGGTTAGTTTAAAATTTATATTTTTAAGGTGGCTTTTGGGTGTATTAGGAATATTAAAAATATTATATCTTAGCAGTGTTTTGTTCTTGGTAGTAGCTCTGCTATTCTAGCCTTAATTAACTATAGTTAAGGGAATAAAATGAAATGTGTTAATCAGCGTGTAGGGGGAGCCAGCGTTCCCTTTTATGTTATTGGTTTTCGCTGTTAACACACGAACTAACCAACAAAAGCAAGAGTAGAAAAACAGAAGGGAAAGAAAAAACAAAGGAAAAAAAAAATGATCTTATTACTTGTTACCCAGCACCAACCTCTGGAAGTTTTGTAAGATCCCCGTCGTCCAATCGGAGTTGAACTTGTGCTGGGGTAATCATCGGGTGATTCTGTTGAACGAGATTAGTAATTATGTCTTAACAATAAAATTCTTCGACCCAAAATCAGTTTGTTATACGAACTACATTAGTTCAAGTGCTTAGAAATGACAATTTCGTCAAATCATAAGTTCCTAAACCAGTAAAATAAATAATTCAATTAAATAAATATCAAAACCAAGCAAAGCTTCTACGTAAATATCAAAGTCGCAAACAAAAATCGCATGCTAAATATAACTACAAAAAATAAAAAAAAATATACCAAATGATATAAACAATGACATTAAATAAGAAAGCAACAAAAACATAAATTACCTTTTACTGTAAGCGAGTCTTGGGAGCCCCTATAAAAATCTCTTTTCATTGAATTGGAGCTTAGTTGACCGTAGCCTGTACATTTTTTTTTTTTTTTGAAAGGACAACCAAGTTTTAAAACGAAAATAAAAACAAAAATTAACAAATGGCAAAACAAATTAAATCAACCAAATAAAACGGCACAAATTAATAAGTACGTAACGCAAAAAATTCGTCTGCAATTTCGACAAGCCGAAATTTTGTACACACATAACAAACAACATACACATTTAGGGATCATTTCTACAAGTAGGTAATACATATTAAGAATAGTTCAAAAAGCGGGGAATTGAACACAGATTACTCATAAATAAATAACGATTGCCTAGTAATACACTCGAGAAAGTCTTAGTAGACTAGCGACCTAATTTTAGATTTGAGCACAGCCCTCTCTTAGCTGAAGTCACAGACAAGGAAGAAAGTAACGGTATTTCACTCGATGAATGCTGTTGTTGTCGTTGTGTGTCTGAGGCCGAATGTAAACAGCGTGCAAAAGTTTTAACGAAACGCTCACCGGTTAGATTTGAGCTTGAACCCTTCTTTCCTCGACTGGATAGGCTTGAAGCCTCGCTGATATCCACACTGGCATCGTCGACGTGGATGGTTTTGGGACGTGGCCTGGTCACACGCTGCTGTCTAAGACGAGGCGTGGATGAGCTTGAAGACTGAGGCTGCAGCTTTACATGCAAATCGGGCCTGTCCAGAGTCTTTCCCTGCAAATAAAAGCGCATCAGCATCATTAACATGTCATATATGTGACATATATTTGATATGTGATTTACCTCACGCTCGGCCTCTTCGATGGCTTTCTTTAGTCTATGTTGTTCCAATATGGCCGCTCGTCGCGCCATCTGCTCCTCCTTTTTGCGTGCGCGCTCCTCCTCCTTCTCTCGTTCCTTTTCACGCTTCTGGGATGCCTCGATCTCTTTCCTCGCCTTCGCCTCTTCTTGCTGCTGTCGGCGCTGCAGGGAGAGCAACATTATTTTCTCCTTACGACGCTCCATTTCGTCAACAGATTCCTAGAAGAAAAAACGTTAATATTTTTTTAAGTTTCCTCTCCCAAATAAATTTAATCTTTTAATACCATCCGTTTAAACAGCTTTCACTACATGTAAAAACTTAAAAACACACTTAAAGTATATAAAATTTTTAATAAAATATATGACAAAGTTTTAGAAGTTTAAAAATATCGAAACATAATTACTAAACTGATCATTACTAACTAAGCCTACTCAGCTAAGCTCTTCGCCCCAATTTTAGTTTTTCTTTGTTTCTCATATTGAATGATTCATTATGAATACGATCTTAGTTGTTCGTTGAGCTATTGACTCAACCCATTTTAAGTTGATAGATTTTCAAGTTTTAATTAGAAAATATTTGAAGGATTTTTTATATATATATATTATGCTTGCTAGCAATACGTTGAGAAACATATCACTTATTTACTTTATATTACTTTTTAACTAGAAAATATTTGAAGGATTTTTTATACCATATACTAGCAATACGTTGAGAAACATATCACTTATTTACTTTATATTACTTTTTACTTTACTTACTATTTACTTTCAATAGAAAAGTTCTCTATCTATTTAATATCTCAAAAGATTCAAAGTAGTTGATTCTCCCCATTGCTTACCGGATCCAGATTAGTTGAGTCGGCGCCAATGACTAACGCCTTATTCTTGGCCGCCTCGGCGCTGTTGATACTGTGCTCCGCTCTCAGACGTGAAGGAGAGAGCGGTTGTTGCTGTTGCTGTGGCTGATTGGTGAGGTCCTCGAGGTGCCGCCGCTCTTGAGCATCGGGCTCGGCTCCCGATGTGGTGATCTGACGCAGCTGAATGGGCGGCTCGTCTGTATACTTGTTGTAGGTTGCATTGCCGGCTGGTGAGTTAGACTGGCCGCCGGGGAAGTTGTGAATGCTGTGCCTAGCGGCAGCAGCATTATTTTTGGCCTCCTCGATAGCGATGTTGTTGCTGTTGTGCAGTTGACTTAGCGATTCACGTTTAACGACAACTTGGTTGTCCACACTGTCCCTGCTGGACTCCTTCTTCGGCGACTTTTTGGCGCGCAAGGGCGGCTTGGGCCGCTTTGGCTGGTCGTTGTCGAACGATATATAGAAGCCCTTCTCGGGTCGCTGCTCCTCACCGCTGCCGTTCCTCTCACCACCGCCACGTGGATCCTGAAAGCTGTTGGCCTGTATGGAGGGGCGCGACGGCGAAGGTATGCGGTAAGTGAGATTGCCGCTGGTGATGTTCAGCTTATTGGAAATGAGCTCTCCACTGTCGTAATCCTCAGAGCTGCTGCCGCGTCCGCTGTGCGCCGTCGGCAACTGTTGCTGCTGCTGCTGTTGTTGTTGCTGGTGATGCAGACGTTGCTGCTGCTGCACCACAAAATCGGAAATGCGAGTGGATTGCATTGACTCGATAATATTTCGTTCCAGCTCATCAACATCCTCCTCGTCGCCGATGAAGCAAATACTTTGTGGCGCCATCATATCCTCCGGCTGTCCCATGCCCATATTCTGGCCCATGTTGCCCTTGGGCGAGCGATTGTCACGCAGATTCGTCAGCGACTGTTGGCGCTGCACCCCGTTGGAGCTGCCGCTGCCACCGCCATGCATGCGCTGACTATGCTGCGGCGATGATTGCACTTGGAACAGGTGCTGCAGCTCTCCGCCGCCTCCGCCTCCATTCTGATGCAGCACAAAGCCCTGGGACGCGCCTGCGCTGGAAGGTGGCCGATTTGGCCAGCTTTGCTGCTGCTGCTGCTGCTGTTGTTGCATCTTCTTCTGCGTTTGCCAGGCATTCACGTCCAACAGTGGCTGCTGCTGCTGAGCTTGCTGTTGCTGCTGCTGCTCGTAAGCAGCCGCTGCAGCCGAGTGCGCCCAGGTGCGACGCTGCGGGTGAGCAAGCGGCTGAGGCGGAGACTCATGCAGGTAAAAGTGATTGGCCGGCTGTCCATACTCATCGTAGACACTGTTGCGTTGCGGATGCTGCTGCTGCTGGTATTGTTGCATTGGAGGCGCTCCATAGGGCGAGTGGTTATTGTAGGGCGCGCCGCCGTTGTCGCTGTAGATGCTCTGCGGCTGCATGTAATGAGCGGGCGGCGACATGTACTGGCCGTGCTCGTTGACGTACTGCATCGGAGGCATTTGCATGGGCTGCTGATGTGGATGATGCTGTTGCTGCTGCTGGTAGGGATCGCGGCTGGGCGGACGGGAGTTGTAGGCGCTGACGGGCGCATTGAAGGCCTGCGGAAGATGCGGTGATGAGCCAAAGCTTTGCTGCATGGGTCGCTGCTGGTAATGGTGCTCGGCCAGATGCTGCTGCGAGCCATAGGTTTGCTGCTGCGGATGCGGTTAGCGGGTGGGAAGCACAAAACATACAGTTAGTCGAGAACAAAGGCACAAACAACAACAAATGCAGACAAAATAAAGAATACAAACGAAAAGCAATAACAAACTGAACTGAACTGAGTTTATCTGTTAATTTGGCAATTGGGCGAGATGCGTGGTGCGTGTTTGTGTGTCGCTTACCTGATTCAGCATGTTGGCTATTTGCTGTGCCTGCATCAGCTGCTGCGCTTGCAAATGCTGCGCCTGCATTTGGCTTTGCTGGGTGGCCAGCCGATGAATATCCTGCTGGATATCCTGCAGATTCATGTTCATGATGGCAATGCTTTGCTGTTGTTTTTTTTTTGTTGTATTCCATGACACGACACATCCAAGACCAATGTTAAGTGTGTGTTAATGTGTGTGGATGTGTGTTTGTTTGTTTGTGTGAGTGTTGAGTGTGTGTTTTTCGTTGTGTACAATTGTTATGTTTATGTTGAAGCAACCACGAACATAGAATAAACGCAATGTGTGTAGGGACAGGTATATAAAACGAGAGAGACAAGCGAATTAACATTTATCCGAAGGGTTAGAACAAGCTCTGGAGTGGACACATTGAGATGCAAGAGTTGAGTGTGGCAGCGAAACTCACTTGGTATTTGTCCATGTCGGCTGGATCCATTTCTGGCGTGCGCTTTGAATCGTTGCTCATGGTCTCCCACTTCAGGACGTCGGGACACGATTCCAAGTCCTCCTAACAATATATAAGCAATTTCAATTATTAAATAAAAAACATATACAACTATACACACTAAATTATAAACTCTAAACTCTAGGGGTGCTCAAATCTAACAACTTGATTTAGTCTAGTAGAAGTGATTACTCTGCAAATCTTTACCAACCTGACAAACTTTCTCCTGGTGCCGCAGCACTGCCAATTCGATCTTGCGTTTATCCTGCTCAATGCGACGTCGTCGCTCCTCCAGCTTCATTCGCATCGTCGACAGCTTGGTGGCATTCTCCAGCGAGCGCAAGTCATCGTCACAAGTCTCATACTGCCAGGTAGCCGGGCTCGCTGGCATGCTACTGGTCGAGGATTTACGCACAGGCGTACTCTCTGGATCGTAGCCACTCGATCGGGCATCGTTGTAGTGCTCGGCGTTCGAGTAGTCCCCCCTGTCGATGGAATGTTGCTTGTTACGCGCCGGCAACGGACTGCCCGCATTGGACAGATTATGCGCAGAGGCTGTGGGCACATTGTCGATGCTGTTGAAAAGAAATCTGATAATTATTGGGCTGCCTTTCCTATTGACTGCTGATTGGGTCACCTAGCCTGTCGACGCATTGAATACTTTTCCGTTTCGCGATCCTGTTTTTCGGATCCCGAATCCGTATCGTAGCCTAGCTGTAACGTGCCACGAGCATCTGCAATCGAAGATCGCACGGCTACGGCAGGTTCTGAAAATTGATAAAAGAAATCAAATTGAGAAAGTGCAAATGAGATTGATTGATAACTGTACTTACCCACGCTTGTGTTCGATAGCTTTCGCTCTCTGTCCCGTTCACGTTCGTAGCGTCCCACTGTATTTATCTGATCCTGTGAGCCCCCAAAGTTCTCGATCGTCAGCTGTGAATCTTCGCTGGACGAGTTTCGTCGCGACCGACGACCTGAAACACGATCATTCATAGTTAGTCTTCAGTTCATTCGACACGCTCATCGATCAAATGGAAGGGAAAAGCAATTCGCATTTAGTTAATATAGATAACCAAAAGCAAAGATAACTAAATATCTTATACAAGTACATTCAACACACAAACACGCACGGGAATTCAAACACCGACTAATGACGGATTTGTTTTTGCATACCTGCGAAACTTGGACGCCGGTTCTGATCCCAGTTACTTGGTCGACCCGCAGCGACAAAATCGCCTGTTTCGATTGTCAATTTAAGAATAAAATTAATTTGAAATCAAAATGTAATAAGTAAATCATAAGATTAATGAAAACTAAAATGATATTTTACATAAATGAAAGTATTCAAATGATTTGCAAAAAATAATTAATATAAGAAACAGAACAAACTTAAATAAAATTAAAAATCAAAATGTGATTTATGATCGTGGGAATTGTTCTAAGAAAAATGCCATAATACAGTCTGCAGTCAAGAAGACTTTTTACTTTTGCTAACTATTAACTTAACTGCATATTTTATTATAGTTTATTCCAAGATATGTTTTAGATACAATGTATATTAGGGAAGCTATATAAACATTAAGAAAGTTTTAATTCAGGATTCTATGTTTAGCTTTTAAAATGTGTGTTTCGGAAACTCTGACTCTCTCTTTCAAACTAATCAGGTTATGTACAAGTTCCTCTTACACTTGCATGTTCCAATTTGCAAATTCCAATCGAGTTGCTTCAACTTACAATTCAAGCATTTCTATTTATTTAAATATGATTCTATAGCATGCCTATGCCTCCAATTTCCCTTGCATGTTCTCAGTAAATGACATTTGAATATCTAACTAATGCATAGAAATAAACTAAATCGATTCACCTTACTTCAGTTAAATCATTCGCTTCTTGCTAATCTAAAGTCGTTTCTTTTCTTACTCTGACAAGTCTGAATATTTTGCCTTGAGCTACCACTAAGGCGATGATCTATCTCTGCAAATAGAATAAATACACACGTAATGCAGCTAATTATTCAGTTGCCTACACTCTGGAACTCAATTAACGCAATTGTGGGATCGGACACGCGAATGTGTGTGTGTGTGTGTGTGGCGAAATAATATGAAATATGAGTTAAAAGTCTGCCAAACCTCTCTCGTCTGCCTTCGACTCGACATTGTTCTTTTCTTTAGCCTGGCGCAAGCGAGCTGGAACCAAGGGCTCCTGCTGTGACTGCGGTTGCTGCTGCTGCTGAAGCTGATAATGTTGTTGCTGCTGCTGTTGCTGCTGCTGCGAGTGCATAGATGAGAGTGTGGTAATGCCCCGCGACTTGTGCACGACGAAGGCTGACACATGCGAATCGAGGAGAGAGGCGACGGCGGCAGTGGCAGTGACGTTGACGTTAGCAGCGTCGCGGTGCGAGTGGGCGTGGATGTGGGAGTCGGACAGATTTAAAGCATGTGTGGTTGGTGGTTCGTTTGGTGTTTCAGGAGAAAAGAAAGAAACAAAACAAAATATTTACAATTAAAAATGAAAAACTTCACACTTCGGTTTACAAATTCTTAAAAAATAAAAGAAAAAGAAAAAAGCTGGTAAATAAAAGTCTAGTGTTAATTACCTTCGGCCTGATTGCCATCAAAATTATTTGACTGCATCGTTTGATACTCGGTGGGCGGAGTTGATCTGCGATTTAAGCTGCCGACGCCGACGCTAAATGAATTTGTGTGCGGAACTAAAAATACAAATGGAAATACACACAAAACAAATAAAAATCAATTCTATACAAACACATAAATTAAAAGTTTCAATTCATATGCATATCAAATTATCAAAAGCAAAAATATAAATATAAATGCAGAGTGAGGTCGTAATTCCGTGTGGCCTGTCTAAGGAAACTATTGAAATCTATCCCCTAGAATCTTGTTGAGAATTTCCTTGAATACCCTGTAGAATTCTATAGTAATATAACTCTAGTGATGAACTATAAGTTTCCTTTAGAAAACTGAACTATGGAAATTATCTTAAATTCACTTTTATCATATACAAATTAATGCCTAAAATCAGAATATCTTTTTAAGTAGAAGCTTAATACCAGAATGTGAAAATATAGCTGCTTTAGGTCATATCAAAAATCCATAAAATCTAGAATACCTCTATGGTTCGCTCGATAAATTTCTTGATGAGCTGAGCAATTATAAAGAAAGTTATTATTAGTTTAAAAAGCTTGAATTTAACTAACAACTCACACTCGAAAACTTTATTTATTTCTTTATTGGCTATCTTACCACAATCTAATTTCAAATTTATAATAATAATTATTATTATTCTATTGTCTTGTCAGTTGATTGTGTAAGTCTCTGGGATGCATTGTAAAAAGTGCTTTAAAAAATGTTATTGAGCTAAAGATCTCATGTGAAGCAACATTTTAAACAGAGGAGTGGGCAGAGCTGCTGCAGCAGCAACTTCAGCTTTTGGTATTGGTGCAGTGATATATTATTATTATTGCTAAACGAACTAGTGTCATTTTAAATGCTGGCTGTGGTATTAGTTGACTTAAGCTACAATTGCTTAGTATTAGTTGATAAATTGCAAGAAAAAAGCGGCGGCGGCATTGTGGGTGGGGTGGCAAAGGGAAATAAACATCAGAAACGGAATATGAGCAAAACAGGCAAACGATCAAACGAACAATTAAACAAACAGCAAACAATGAAAATGCAAAACATTCATGTTAAGAAACGAGGCAACAAACAAATGGAATTTGAGCTGGGGTTGGCGGGGCACACACAATAAACACACAGAAAGAAATAACTCTCGGGGTCTGAGGGGACCCCTGGAGCATGTTTTGCAATTAATAGAGAGAGAATGAGAGACAAAGAGAGATAAACCTTGAAACGGCGGCCGACTCGAGGGTGACCCAATGGGCGGCTGGTCGAGATCGCTGCGTAAATCGGGTATGGGCGTTACGGGTTGCACGGTGAGGCCCCGTCTATGGCAGATTCCGTGCTCATTGGCGCCCTGGCTCCGCCTTTGGATGACATCTACGCGACACGTCAGCCAGGTGTCAGTGTTGATTAAAGTATACGAAATTGTTGTTGTCACAGTGGTAGCAGTAGTTGTGGTTGTTAATAATAATAATATTGTTGTTGTAGTTGTCGTTGTAGTTGCATGGGTTTCAGTGTGTGTGTATTGTTGTTGTTGAATAAAGAGAGCATAGTGTTAACACCCCATTCAGTTCAGGTGATTTGCGGTTTGCACAAGCGTTTGCACATAAACAAAGAAAGAGAATCAAATAGAAAATTGATTTGATTTGATTTGATTTGATTTCAATTGAATTGTATTGTATTTATTGTATTGAATTGTTCATTAAGTTAACTACTTCATATTGCTTTCGAAATGGATCACGTGCGGGATGACTGCAACCGGATAAAATGATCAAAACTAAATGATTGTGGTATACATGATTGTTGGGCGCCGATTTATGTGATGGGGATGACCAACCGCAGTAAATCAGAGTAATTTTCTTATGGCTTACTGGTCTGGTTGACGGCAATGGAAAAGGTGCTATCATCGAAGGGTGATTCAATTCGTGACTGCTCAATGCTAAAACGTACATCTGCTTAGTGAAACTGTTAATAACTAATGTAAAGCTGCTTTGATTATTGCTCCGGGTGTAAACAAAGTGAAAACAACTTATAGGCAGAGAACTACAAATCGATAAATATGGTGGGAGACAGTTGAATACGAATCTAAATACCACTGCAATTGTAAAAATATATTTTTTTTAAGTATTCTATTTCCCATATAGTCTATTGACCATAAATCGAAATGCTAGCAAATTAAATAATTAAATTAATTGAATTTCTCTTTCGTTATTACAAAACGCAGCCATCAAACTAAAATGCAGCAAAACAAATATAAGAAATTAATATAAAAGGCAAAGCAAATCATAGGCAAATTATGCTTTTGAACAAAACTTCACAGAACAACAAAGACAACGCAGACAACGACGACGACGACCACGACATGCCCCAGATGAGAACACACAAAGGCCAATCAATGGGTTGGATAGTTGTTGGTTGGGTCGGGGGGTAGTTTGGAATGCGATGCGGTGCATAGTTCAATGGCTTAGATGGACTGAAACTTACCCTGCCCATCCATGCCCGGGTAACAGACGCATTTGGCTGGGTGTATCTCGAACAAGTTGAATAAATCCGTCAACAGCAACACCAGATTCAGTTTCATTGAGCTGTCAACGAAAATAAGACACGTTAGCTATGACAATCGAGTGGAGAGTGCATTGCATTGACAAGCACTTACCCGCGCATATATGTTATATCCTCGGGCGTCATATGGAAGACGCCGTATGGCAAATGCTTTTGTGAGAAGTTGCTAACGAGCAGTATGTTGTGTATGGAGTCCTCAACGGCAGGCAAATAGTTGATGCGCACACTCGTCCACGGCACCACCTTGGGGCAGTAGTAGGAGATGAGCAGCGCAAGGCAGATGCCATCGCACAGATCCTGAAAATCACGCACTGGCGGTATGTCCGGCGTCTGCAGACGCGTACCCTGCAAACAATATAATCGAAATTAATATTCCTCATGCGAATTTGAGTGGAATGAATGTTCGCCTTACGATCTCATCCGGCACACTGGACTCGAGCTCCTTGACAATGCGCTTCTTAAGCGCAGCGCACGCATGCGATATCCATGCAAGCAGGCCCTGCTCGTAGGACTGGCCTTGAGGCGCTTGATAGTTGCTGCCAGATATTCTGCAAATGTTTAAGAATGTTAGCAAAACTCTATACATACAAAGACAACTTGATTTGCTACATACCTTCGTATGGCCGACACGACACGGTCACCCGATGATATTTCCTTTGCATATAAAACCATCAGCGATTCTATCACAGACATGTGAGCGTTCTATAGACGATTAGAAAGTTGATTTGATCAAAATATTTCAATTAGTGTTTGGACTGTCGTTGATTACTTACAATTCGCAGCGGATTCGTTTGAATTAATACCGTTTCGGTAATGGGCATGTCCGAGGACTCGGCCACAGGGACACCCTTGCGCGCTAGCGTCTGTAATATTGACCAGTGATTTAAGCTTTGGTAGTTGGGATCCGAGTACAAATTGGACAAAGTTTGGCAATAAAGCGTCGCATTGCCCAGCTCCACAACGATTTGTGGCTTGAGACGCTCCTGGTTCTCGTGATCGCGATAGAACGGCTCCTTGAGGTTGTCTGGCACGCGATTGTTGAATGCTTTCGAGAGCAGCCATTTGACGGAAGCACGTTGACGAGCCTGCAAAACAAATGAGAATGTGCTGTTAATAAACTGTTCTTGGCATAAGAAGAGGAAACACAGAATTGCTTATAGACTAGATAATAAACCAATATTACCAGCCAAATAATATCATTTGCATAAGCAAGCTGACTTTCCATTTCAGCTATAGACATGAATTTGTTATATATGGTCTTTCATATAGATGTATATACATATATACAGTTTTTTTTGCACACTCTTTGATTGATGTAATTGGGATGCAATTTCTTTCAGCATGCTGTGTCAAAATCTACATCCGGCTAATAGAGAAGGTTATTGAAATGAAAGCATTAATTCAGCAGTTGGCTGGCAAACCTTACGGCGCATTTAATGCTGCATTTTAATATTGAGGCAATTATGTAGTGCACTCTCGCAGCTGTGTCTGTGTGTATCAGTGCCCCTGCTGCATCTGTGTCTGTAGCTGCAGCTGTGTATATATATATATATATATGTGTGTGTGTGTGTGTGAAGCCATGCGTACAATCTTCAATATGAGTTCGATAAACTCGCTGGTGTTTGGCTTGGCGTGCGCCGTTTCTTCATTGTGTCTGTCCGTCTGTCTAGTTGTCCGTGTGTCTGTTTGTCTTGGATGGTCACTCAGCATGAAAAAGAGGGAATGCCCAGACCATGGGCCCGTGGCCAAACAGTGAACACTTTTTGCTATTCCTATAGCTGTTGCTGTTTGCTGCTGTTGCATCTTTTAAGAATCTCAAGTGCAGAGAGTTATTTCCATTTGCAACTATATTTTATACGCCTCAGCCATTGAGTTTTGCCTATTTTTTCTTAGAAGCATCTCGAGCATGAGCTCTTATTAGTTCTTTTTCTGCTCCTTTTGCGCAATCGGAATCTTAATGGAATCTAATCGGAATGGGAGCAGACATCTCTGACAGAGTACTTGAATGATTCAGTCGACTCATTTGCAGACCAGACTTGCAATTCTCAGCTCTGATTCACTTTGAATCAAGTCAAATCATTATTTATATCATTCGGGAATCGCCTCCGCTATCCGCCCATTTTTGGAGTGTGCTTTTAGTGTCGTGTTAAATTGAATTCTTAATGGAATCTAATCGGAAAGAGAGCGCACATCTCTTAACAAGTTGGCTGAACGATCATCTAATTCAGCAGACGCACTCATAGATAAGACTTACACATTCTAACAGTGATTCAATTTGTCTTATCGACAAGTGAATTCATTCTAAAACAAACATATGTTCGACATTTTAGTATCTTTAAGGAATGTGTTCTTGATAAGAGAGTCAAATATCAGTTTTCACTTTTATTTGAACGATTTATAAGTGCCGGATTATGTTGGCATATGAAACTGACCCAATGATAGATAAGGAACTTCTATTTGTTTTGTACCACATAACAGAATTATTAATAGTTTTCACTGAATGTTGATTTTTTGAGGAAGTTAAATGATAATTTCCTTTTCCATAATAAAGAGTCGGTTTTCAATCATGTATTATATGTAATATATTAGACAAGTTAACATAATTGGCAGCCAGATTGTGACAACTCCAACGGGCTTTGCTGTTTAGCCCAAACAGGTTTTGTATATTGTTTAAGAGTGAATTATCCGAAGACCTAAACTGGCTTTTGATGCGTGAATATTTAATTAAATTAGTTTTTTGTTGTAGTTCAACAAGGTCATAAAGATAAAGAAGCGATCATGTCCATAAATTATCAATTCTATTATTTATATAATAATTAATATAATAATTATGCATTTTAATTTCTTCAGAAGTAAAGTTTACACCAATATACTTCTTACTAATGGATTACAGAGTATACGGAATTAAATATATGTAGTTATTTTGAAGTAGCCTTTAGTTTTAATAAATTTAGTGAATCAAAGTTTAAACTGAGTAAACCCAATCGGTTACCATATGCAACTTTTAATAACAAGAAAATTAAGTTAAAAATCAATACAGTCTTTCCAGCAACAGGTTAACGAGTGTCGAATATGTTGGCGTAGGTCGAAGACCGTCGAACTATGCGAATTGGCCAACAAGTCGAATGGCGAACGGACAGACAGACAGACAGATGTGGACAGGTGGCCAAACTTCCTGTGCAACCAGTTTTTCTTCACACACTTTCCACCAGATTCAACACTGGCAAGAAAATGCATTTTTTATTTTAGCTCTTTTGTTATGATTATCTAATGCTCAAGTGTTTGTTTGTGTGCGTGCTTAAAACTCAAATTTCAAAATGTAAACATTTTACTGTCAAACAACCGCAGCGGCAATAATAAATTGCTGTTGGCTTGAACGCCCACATGGATGGCATAGATAGTTCAACTTTTGTCGCTTCTAGCATGGTGTATGTATAAATAAGTACATATGGAACACACACGTATACATATATATATGTATGTGCATACAGAAATGGATGTGAGTATTTTTGAGTGCACCAATACCCATACACACTTCATATTGGAAGTGCTCGCAATTCAAATTACGGCTTGGCGCTATTTATGAATTTGTCGTTATCTTGCTCTTGTTTTTGTTGTTGTTGTTGTTCTTCTTCTTCTTGGCTGGCGTGCCAGAGAAATGTGACGATAGGCTAAATATAAATGCAAAAGGAACACACAAAAACTCTTTGCTTTGACAATTGTGAGCGAACTTTTTTTTTTTTTTTTTTTGGATAATGGAGAGCGAGAGGCGAGAGAGCGCAAAGTGAACGGAAAAGAGAGCGAACAACGCAGACATTGTCGGCAAATGTTTTGAGGCTGCTGAGCGTGCGCTTTATATTTTATATGGGCTTCCTTTTCTTTTTTTTTTTGTTTTAAAAGCCCATAATGCGCTAATTGCTTAAAGAGCTTAGCAGCAGCAGCAACAACAACAACAGCCATTGGAATGGCAGCTAGATAAACAGTTGGAAACAGTCGATTGTCTATGAGGCGTTTAGCTTTCTAGGGAGCTGAAGCAAATTTAGTGAAGGGGGAGAGGGGGAAAGGGAGCCGCGAGCCGGTAGCACGCACGCAAGCAAGCTACACACCCATTTCAAAGCTAAGAATCGAGCTCTGAAGGTTGCCAAACTGTCAAAAAGTGAGACCATCAGTTAATCAGTTACATTTTGTTTTGTGTCTCATTTTCTTGGTTTTGCGTACATTATAGACAAACAAACATATGTACATATGTACATATAAATGTAGGTTTGTTCTTGGCTGTTTTATTTAGCGATTAGGTCATGCAACAGCAGTTAAAGCAGCGGCAGCAGCTACAACAACAACTACAAACGTTTACGCCACAAACAACAACAATAGCAATAGCAGGCGCATTGAAAAGCATTTTCCGGCTGTGGAACCAATTTATGAATGGGAGTTTTAAAGTTGATTGAACAGCAGCGAACCAGCAGGCAGCCAATGCCAATACGTACACAGCAGCTGGCCACACTGATTGCTCTGTAGACGTCGCCGCTGGTGCTGCTGACTTCGCTGCTGCTGCTGACGCTGCTGTTGTTGTTTGCATTGGATTTAAAACCAGTCAAACGGTAAGTAGGTGTCGGTCGCATTTTAAGGCGCTAGCCACTTACTTGGTCGGTCAGTGGGAGCGGCAACGGCGGCAGCGTGGCGTGAGCGGTTACCTCAGCGCACCATTTTGGCAAAGAGAGTAGGTGGCTGACTGAATGTTAACGTCAACGTCGGCGCCGACGTCGCTATGCCGTTACGCTTATGGCCAGCCAGCAGAGAAGCTAGCAGCGTCTGATGAGCGCATTGCAAAGGCGTTAAACGAATTAATGACGGCGACGTCGTCGTCCAACTCTTTGGGGAGTAGCTACAACAGCGACGTCGGCAGAGCCAGCGGCAGCAGCATCGAAGTCTCAGTCGGTGCAGGAATTTTAATGAGCGCGATATTTAGTTTGCGAGACACACACATACATACATAATGACTTATTAGAAGCACTTACAAACACACATTCACACACTCATACACACACTTGTATGCATATGTCAGTGAGCGTGTCTGTGTGTGGGAGCGCACGCACACCAGCAACAACAGCAGCATGGATTAGTTTCTGTTAAAGCAGGGGGGTTTGGCATATGTAATGGCTAAAAATATGTTTACCTGTCGTATTTCCTGTGTTTCGGCATCCATCTTGGAGATGGGAGATGACGATGATGACGCTGCACTTTACCGTTTTACCGAGCCAACGACTTTGACTAAAATTCTTTCGATGAAATTGTTGTTGCAGTTGCAGTTGCAGTTGCACTTGCAACAGCGGGGGCAACGGATGTCACTGGCTGTCCGACGCCCAGTCTCCGCTGCACTTGCAGTTCACTTTTCTTTCTTCACTGGCCAAGCAGTTGGTTGTTGTTGTTGTCGGTGCCGTTGTTGTATTTTCCACACTTTCCTTATTGTGTTGGGGTTTCTGCTCTCGTACTAGCACTATCTCTCTCTTTCTTTTTCTTCCTCCTCTGCTTCTTTTTTCTCTCTTTGGCTTGGAATTTTCACTTCAGCCGTCGAGCAGCCTAAAATCACGCACACACATACACATCATTACAAACATATACAATTTATAAATATTTATAAGCACTTTTACAGCTACATATTTTTTGAATTTTTCGCAAAAAATTAATTGCGCGCACGCATTTGCCAACTATTCGCGAAGCACAGTAACAGCAGCAATAGCAACAGCAACAACATGCGGAGTAACACAAAACATAGAAAGAGAAGAAAAGTAGCAAAGGAAAATTGTGAATCATTCACTGGGCGAACTTTGCAGTGGGCGGCAACAGGGGGTTGGCTTTGCCGTGGAATTGTGCTTGGCACAATAACAGAATAACAGACTAACAGAAGCGAAGCAGCAGTGTAGAGCAGAGCAGAGCAGCGCAGTGCACTGCAACAGCAGCTACGCAGCGGCAGAGGTGGCAATGATTTTTAGTGGCTTGTCGCAGCATCAGCTGTTGCAAATAGGGGTCAGAATAGACACAGAAAGGCACTTTTTGATTAACTGACGTTAGTTTTTGGATTATTAATGCACAATATTTGGCGTGGCAGCTTTGCTTTTTTGCAATTTTCCACTTTTCCGCGATTGCAGGCAGTAATAAATGAAAACATTTTTTTTTTTGCCTTGCTTGTTGTTGCTGTTGCGCTCGCCGTTGTTTCTCTCTCTTTTATGCGCGATACTCCGTCGAACTGGTAGACACTGTTATGCTCTTCGCTCTCATTGGCGACTAGGCGTATGATGACGACGGCGACGGCGACTGCGGCAGCGACGCCAACGTTGACGTCAGTTTGCGAGCAGCAACGAAATGATGACCGAAAAATGTCGCTATGTGTGCGTGGTAAACGCACATTCTGCTTATATTTAACATTGCTTTACCGCCTGGATTCATACAAATTCATTTTACACGCTACGCGCTTGGTTCGCATTCACTTTAACACTTTCTATTTAATTACAAATGCACTAAGATCGAATAACAACTAGCTGCTGCTCTTCCAAAATTTTCTCTGAATTCAAGTGTTTGATAGCGTCGATAGATGGCGTTTATTAACACTAGCAGCAAGAGATTGTAGTCCAATCGACCAGCCACCACAATTTATCAAGCCATCTGCAACGCTGTTCTTAAATTGAATCTCTGGTTAGTGATTGAATCAAATGAATCATTCAAATAATGTAATATACAAAAAAACCAAGTAATTATAAAAAGTTTTAACATTTCGTGCATGTTTTAATACATTTCTTATTTTTAAATAAATAAATTTTATTGTATGTCTAATTTTTATTTAATAATATTATTTTATAAAGCATTTCATGATTATGACCTGGGTCACTTAATATGTTTCGCGCTTTATCAAATATTTCTTGGCATGCTACACTGGAGGCAGGTGTGCCCAGAATTCTGCAACTTATGCGGTATAACAGTGGAAAATTATCTTTATTGGCGTGCCACCAGCGTAAAACATTGTATCCTTCTAGTGGCACTTGAAGATCGGAATATCTTCGAATCTCTCTCATAATTCGATCTGTGTTTGTGGGCAAACCAACGAAATCCGAAAACAAATCATCATCATCCAATTCTTGTTTGATGTGAATTTCCTCCTCTACGCTTTCTAAGGGACAATATCTTTTCATTAATAGCTTGCATTCTTCTATTGTCTCCTCCTTTTCGGCCTGGGTGCACTGCAGCAGTTGATTGGTGGGTGGAAACAAGTACATGGCTATTTTGTGATGTTTTCGTATATGTTTGTTTGATAATTCTTCCAAAAGTTCTATTAGCTTAAGTTTCATTTTAACCAAAATTTCGTTTGTAGATGAACTGCTGCACAGTTTTCGCAATTTGTGTATAATTGGAATTACCAAATGCAAAGTTGGTAACATTTCATCCTCCAAAATTTTGCTGCATTTCACAAAATGGCTGAGAATCTCAACAATTGACGAAAAGTCATGATATTCTATACATAATATATTTTCGAATCCAATTGTGCCCTCTCTACACCGATCCAGCCAATTGATTTTTATTGAGTTGAGCATATGGTAAATACTGTTCCATTTGGATTGAGCATAGTCTATTATAGGATGCTCTAAGCTTATTAAGGCGCCCGATACTTGCAAATGATTGATCAGTACTTTGGCTTGAGTTAAGATTTCCTTCAGTTCGCTTACTTCACTGAATGCTTGCTCTATGATTTTATTGAGCAAATCACTCATACAGCTTACGACTTCAAGTCCTAGAGATGATTCATTCAGGTTTGAATCGGCAGCTGTTACAAATATGGGGTTTTCCACACTCAAGTCGCTATTAAACTCCAACAAGATTTGATAAATTTTCTCCTTCAAAAGTGAACCTAATGAACGAATAGATTAAAATAAGTTACACTCTGAATTCAATATATATCCAGTACAAATATCCAACAATGCTCACCTGGGCAGTCCAGCTCTTCGAGGCAGCTAAATGAAAGCAAGCGATTGACTAGCGTGCTATCCTTGATGTAATGCAAGGTCATGCACAGGTATGAGTTCTTCATATATCTATCCGGCCAAGTGCTACAGGTTAGGCTGTATCCATTGGCTCTAGCTTTACTCACTTCGAAATCCAACTTCCCCATTAGGTTATCATAACGCGTTTTAATGTTCCTAGATAAGATTTCGGTGTGTGGTAGAAGTTCTTCCACGTTGAGTTGACTACCAAAGTTAGCACCGGTTTCGATCAAATATTCTGTAATTTTTTTAAAGCCAGAATCCTCCAGAATACTTAATGGCCGACAGCTATTCACAATCCACTCAGTCATGAGAAGAGCGAGTTTCTTTTTGATTTCACTATCGACTATAGATGAGCCATCTTGTTCATTCAACGGGTCTGTAGTATCTCCGCTGTTTTCTTGCTCATCCATACTCTGACGCGTATCAAGCATTGGAATTCTCTCTCTTTTCACCACGTTTGGCGATTCATTTGATTCGTTCGATTCGTTCGGTGATTCTTCGATTGAATTTTTGTAGCATTTATGTCGAACCAAATTCGATGTGCTGCCATGGAATTTGAATACACTCGGACACGTACGACATATCACATTATTAATCTCAGTTCCATTCTGATCAACAACTCTGGAAAAGACGTTCCAGACTCTACTGCGACTTCGTTTCGGAACGACTTTAAATTCTCCACTCTTAATTCTCTCTCTTATAGACGAACTGTCATAGCTGCCCGCTTCATCTTTCATTTTTTTGTCGATGTTTTTTTTCTATTAATAGTTGATATGCAAATGAAATTTCATATATATTTTTATTAGCGTATATATTAATGCTTACCAATCAGTCTGTCAAACAAGATTATGCAGATTCATGAGTCATTTGGCTTCTATTGAGTGGATTGGTTTGTCGGCACAGTATTATTCTCACACAAAAAGAAATGGTTTAAGAACTGAATCAATTGAAACTACAAATGTGACTTTTCTATTTTCAATGCCAATGCACAATGAAATAGTTTTTGTTCAACTGAATATTTATGTTGTGATTGTATTTCAATAATGTCAAAGATGACTATCGACCGACCGCCATAACAATCGGCGCTAAGATGTTAATACAAAAACAGATAGAAATTATACAGCACTAAACAACGACTAATTCTCAAGATTAATTCTTACCTGGTTTAATAAACAATTTAAAGAATACGAATTTGGAAGAGTAAACTGCAAAAATGTAGTTTCATATCTCAGAGGATTATCGAAAACTTATCGAATATCCACCACAAATTAACTTACAGCATATCTGAATCATGTGAATCATTTGTTGACCTTATTATTTTACTATATGTATATGTACACAAAATTCGATGCATATAAATTTTGTAATTTGATTTCATCACATTTCATCAGCCTGTCTCTCGAGAATTCTCAAGAATATATATTATTATTTTACTAACAAAAATTAAAAATAAATAGCATTTAGTTCGAGTGCTCAAGCACTACATTTCTTGCCACGACTCAAGTTTCTTTGAAACCATTTTGAAGTTTTAATTCATTTTCTTTTTCCGACTTTCGTTTTAAAATTTGAATATTTTGTCCATTGGCGCAAAATAAAACAATGAATTTGTGACGTCACAACTTTCGTGCACTTGCATATTAGTGCTGTAAAGTTTTGCATCGATTGGACTGTCGTGGTTTGCAACACGGTTTTGTGCGTGACTAAAAATCGTGACATGCGTGTCGCAAAGTACATTTTACATTTTGCTTTTTGTATATATTTTTGTTGAAACCGTCTAAATAGGACAGCAACAATGCACGTCGAAAAGAAATCGGAGCTAAGAAGTCTTCTTAAGTCGGGTGACAAGCGTTGCAAATTGGTCGAACCACGAAATGCAAAGAGCTGCGTTTGGAGATTCTTTAATTTGGTGTCTTGTGATGATCGAATAGAGCCATATGCCTGCTGTAAAACCTGTGGCGATCTATTATCCTATAGCGGGAAAACCGGAACTGGCAGCCTATTGCGCCATAGATGTTTGCACACGACTAACGGTAAGTTTTGGATCTGATATTCACGCACGCCCCCTCACACTGCCACGCGTGTTCAGAGACGTGTAGTATTATTGTTGTTGCTGTCATCGCCACCGATTTTCCTAGTGTTGTGATATGTTTTGCTCCGCACATCGCATTATATATAATTCGAAGCATTACAATCGGTCGGCCCGAGTCGTCTCTTAAATTTTTAAATTGACTCTAACAATTACATGCAGTCAGCTCAGGGTAATTGAGGTGCGGACAAATGCAGAGTTCGCCGAACGAATTGAAAACCAGATTTAATGATTCCTACATATTTATAAATGAATTATAAAGAATAAAATGAGTTTTCGAGTGCTCTGATTTAATGAATAGAATTTTGTAAATGCATTGATAAATGTTGATTTTTTTTTTTTTTTTTGTAATTTAATTTCTTTGTTTTCTTTGACTGGTAAAATATCGTTATGCAACACTGTTTCTAGTTAAAGTTATTCAACACCGTCGCCAACAACGCTAACATCGCTATTGCGTTTTTTGTGGGAAAAAATTGTAATTGAGCGCAAAAATTTATTGACAAACTTAAATAAAAATGCCTAAAGGTCGCGTTAGCAGTGTTTGGCAGCATTACGACATCAATGAGGAGTGCGAAAACTTTGCGGTTTGTCGCTATTGCGGCAACAATATATCGCGTGGTGGAATGGCCAGCAATCTAAAGGGCAATAATACAACCAATTTGTGGACGCACTTAAGACACAAGCACGCTGACGAGGTGCTCGTTAATCCTATACAACAGCGCCCCGTTAGTCGACCAGCAGTTATTACATTAAAAAAAGGTAAACGTAGAATGCAACTGGCGCTTATCACGACAACATACATTGACCTATTGACGACGCACCTATCGATCCCGCGCGACTGTCCCCAATTGGAAACTATCGTAAAACGATGAGACGCCCAGCCCTGCCTTACAGCTGCGAGCCGGCAATTAATTGACATATGATTTTTATTATCGCAGAGCCCAACTAAAAAATTTTGTGTGTGTTTTGTTTCTTATTTGTCGTCTCTGCAGAAAAAACGTCCCGCATAGCGAAGGCAAAAGTTGTACGAGAGCCGCTGCGTGTGGCGAAACCAAAAATCGACGTGCACGCATCCATATCTGGTGCACTGCCACAGAAATGGGAAGAGTACGAGCAGAACGACGAGGTGGCCGAAGACATCAAAGATATCATATACAATGAAGATCCGCTCTGCTACAGTCCCATACAAGTGGTCGAGGACGAGATGCTCGACACAGGCGAAAAAGTCACTGTAATGACCAGCAACAGAGTATCCAGTGCTAATCCAGTTGTTGCCACCGTGGTCTCAGCGCCCACAAGCGCTGCAAAGACACTGAAGAACAATTTGGAAACATCCATTGATCGGTTGACCACTGTCAGCGAGCAGCTTAGCTACATTATACAACAGCAGCAAGAGGAACAAATCAAGGACGATGACTATTACTTTGCTATGAGCCTCGTTTCGAGTATGCGACAATTGTCAGTGAACCGCAAGCTGTTTGTGCGTGCGAAAATACATGAAATTTTGTACAAAGAGAATGAGGAGGCTGCGACTAAAGCTGAATAGTAGTGCAAAGTATAACCTACGGATATACATAAATCATTTTTAAATTTATTCACGAAGTAAATGAAAACAAAACAGAAATACCATTTAAAAACAAAAAAAGGAAGAAAAGAAAAAAAAATATATATATCTTATCAACCGATTATTCATGTAGGCTAAATGTTTCTTTTTTACGTATTTTTTACGTACAATTTGCAATCTTTGTTGGAACATTTTATAATAAGCACACATATGTCTGAGCAGAGACGAATTCATATTGATAATTTAGATTATATATGTATTCAGATATTTAATGCAAAACTTACAAAACGCTAATAAATTTACCTAAGAACTCCAAAACTATAATTCTGTTAACTCTAAGTAATTTTATATTCACAATTTTAAATTTGTTTATGCTATGGTATATTGAATTGCGTTCATTTTGTAAACAATGTTCAGATTGTTTATGTGCCTGTATAACTCTTCTATATTTTCTGTGTAAGATCTGCCTCACAGCAGACTGTAAACCAGTTTTCCAAATGGTAAACCAGAGCTCACAGAAGACGTAAGTGACACATAATAAGTATTTTAAGAAACATAAACTGTAAATCTACGTTTGAGTAACTAAATTAAATAATCTTATCTCTGCTGATTACCCACGCAAACATAAATGAGCTTATCTCGGTTCATTCTGAACACATCTATGTAGATGTGTAGAAATTTTTATCATACTGACCTTATTAATGGAATAGTTATCATGTCAACTTTCTAATTTACAATTGGCTTCCATGAATGCTGATAAATTCTCTATGCTTCAAAACTCTAGTATTGAAAACATGTTGTATTCTATTTATTAAAACATCTCTTGAATCCTCTCTCGGAATATTATGTTAAATATAAACCATACTTTTCCGAAGTGAATAATAATTGATTTTGTGCAATATTCTTGATAGAAACTCGAGTTTTAGAGGGTTATTTGGTACTGCTTCGTAGTATTAAGACGTAGAGATTTATAAATTGCAGAGATTCAAAACAGAAGCGATATCTTCAAAATGCTAGACTTGAAATTCGAAATATATGGATGGGCTGACAACTGAAAACCAGTAATATATAGAAAAAATGTGGATACGTGGCAAATCGTGTAAAACTCTATCTTCCAAAGTTTGAAAGGCATAGCTCCAATAACAGTTCCTACAAACTCTCTCTTGAGATTTATGAAAAAAGATGAAACTGTTTTTTGTGCCATGAACGAGTATTTTAGAGTCGGTGCCGTCCGATTTGCTTTTTAAAATGTGAAGCCCACGATTTTTAGGATCAGTCTAAAAGTGTATTAAAAAATAAATTGAGTTATGTTTTAAATAAATTTTATTTAAATAACTTGTTGAGATTTACAAAACAGAGAGCATTACTAGTAAAGTATAATTTACAAATCGATTTCTGGAGCTAATTCGTATGGCTTATGCATTCTTAAAACTAGAAATGTTTTTTTTATTTATTTATTTTTTTTTTTTTTTTTTTTTTATATTAATAATGTATTATTATTTTAGCATTCAATGTGTTTGTTTCTAGAAATAGGCATATATTTTATTATACAATATCAATTACAATAAATCCTACAGATCGAGTAATAAACAATGTTCTTACTATTTATATATATATATATGCACCTCCAAATATCATATCTATATATAGATTTTTACGATATTCCCTATGTGATGAGGCTAGTCAACAAATGTCTTTAGTTGATTAATCTTCCGCTTCTTCTTCCTTATAGTGGATGTTTTAATACGAATGAAGTTTAAATATTGTTTTTGATTTTGAAAGAGTTTAGTTAATGCATGATGGGATCTGATTAAGTGCACCATATGACTGCCAAAGAACGTTCGTTAAGTATGTTTTATGCTTATTTAGTTTAAGTTATTTTAATTTGCAAATTTCAATATTTCTTGGGTATATTTAGCTAGTCCCAATCGTATATATATTTTCTTTATAACTTTTATTTGTAGGTATTTATCATTTTGATTACGGTTCGTGTTCGACTTTTTATTTTGGGCTACTTTTTTGTCGTATAACTTTTGAAAAATGATATGATATATGATATAAACTGTTTGTATTCGAACTTTGTGAACAAAAAAGAAGATCTATATATATATATTTATTAGTTTATGTATTTTCTTTTTTTGGTATTAAATTTTCGTATACAAGCATTTAGATATATCCAAAATTGATTTATGTTAGTTCCATGTTTTTGTATTTGTATAATATTTTCGTATTACTTTCAGATGGTTCGTATTTGTGTTGGTATATATAGGTGTAAATTGGTATATTTTGTTCTATTCACAGTTTTGATTACTACATCCAAATAAAATATTTTATATATATGTATATGTACATATACAGATTAATCAAGCATAGCTGAAATGTGCAGTCGACTTGACTCCGTTTCAATTTTCTCATTATCTTATGATATTATATATGATATGAATGGTTTTTATTCTCAATATTTTTTTCATATGTTTCCTGTTAGTTTGATATGGACTTAAAACAGTTTTTCTTTTTGTTTTATATTCATTTACAAGGACATTTATCAAAAATGTAATCAATCAAAAATAAACAACTTGTTTTCATTATTAGTATTTTTTCATTTCAATAAATATTTAAAGTAATATTATTTTAAATATTATTGAATATTGGAAACATATTTTTATTCGCTTATTGCACTTTCGAGCGTCTTTTTGTGTTTGTTTCATTTTCATTGGTTACATTTGGAGTATGTGAGTGCTGCTCCAGCCAGGACATCCGACTAACTTAATAATAATATTATTTACTGGATGTCACCAGCTGACTGGTGCTATAGCCCTGTGTGTTGCAGGTGGGCAGGGCAAATGGATTGAAGCTCAAGCTGCTGACTCCTGAAAGTAAGAGAAACCACAGAAACTGTTAAAAACTGAGAATATATTGAGTATATAACTAAATCCCTCATGGCTTAAGATGGTATATTTAATCTTCAATGTTTTGAGGCTCTGGGATTTCGAAATATTCTAAATTCAGTCGTACAGATATTCCCCCCCTTTTCCCCCTCTAAAAGTTTGTTTTCTTTTTTTACTAAAATAAAATTAATATATATTTACATGAGTACATGAAGTTAAACATGATACAAATGTTTGTTAAAAAAAATTATAAATACCGTTAAACGTGTGTTGGTAGTGTATTGTTGTTGTTGTTGTTGTAGCTGTTGTGTATGTTTTTTATGACAGACACGACGACGGAATCGTAAACACTCACGCAATGCAATTGTCGCAGGAACTGGAATTGGAATTGGAACTGGAGTTGATGATATTCACTGTTATCATAGCAGCTGCTGCTGCTACCGACCAACAGATGGCGCCCATTGTTGATTAAGCATTTAGGGGGCGTCGTTGCCGATAAGATAGTGCTCTGTGTGTATGCTTGGGTGTGCGTGTGTAGGTGTATTGGCTGTTTCCTCATCCCTGCTCCAAGCTCCAAGCAATCAGTGAGGTCGCCTCATCCTGCAGTCCTTAAACGGCCGTCGCAGTCGCTGCTGACACGGCGGGATTGTGCCACGGCTGATGCGGATGCGGATAGTGATGCGGGTGGGCGACTGCGGCGGTGGCATGATGGTGTTGCACTAGAGCCGAATGCCAAGGCGTCGTCACTGTTGGTGGAGTAATGTCGAAAATGCACTTGCTGAGCAAATTTTGATTCACTTTGTAGGCGATTTGGGGCGGGGTAGGTGTGGGGCGAGTATATAGTATATTTGAGTAGTTTTGTTTGTTTCGGGTATTGAGTGATTGTGAAAATTATAAAACAAACATGGTAAACGTTTATTCAATAAGCAAACTATAAACGTCGAACTTGCAATATTGAATACTTTCCTATTTGTTGAAAAATAATGAGTTTCATGCCATGGTTTTATATATTTTTTTGAATGCAGGGTAAATTTAATAAATAATATTTAAAGTACATAAAACGTATGTAAAATGGGTATGTGGATTATATAAGATATATAATTTTTTGGAAGGTCCTAGCTTTAATTAAAGAATGAAATATATTTGAAAGCTAAATAAATACCTATATCGATTTATGTAATACATATTAGATATTCTATATTTATGAGAAATATTTTTCAACATTCTGATGATTTCTTTAAGTAAGCTCTATCGATTTCATGGACCTTTGCATTTTTAATTTTCTACTATTTCTTCACGAAAATTTCAAAAAAAAATACTTGGAACTGGATAGGGCAAAAAATTTTTAATTTTTTAGGTCACAGCTGATTTAGAAATTATATATCATATATAATTATCAGACTTTCTACAGTGTATATATTTATCTTCTAGATTACTTAGTACATTAACATTTGATAAACGATTCTCAACCATTCATGTTATAATATACAGGAACTAGTTCACAGGTCAAAGGATAAGTTTAGCTTATGCTAGACGGACACTTTGCTTAACCCTAGCCAGCACACACTTACTTGAAGTCGAGTTGAAGACGCTGCCTGGCGATGAGGATAGAGTACCCATATTCGGTGCGGGCGCGTAGCCATTCGCGGTGGCTGCAACGGCAGCGGTGGTTGCTGTGGCGCCATACGAGCCACCCGAGCTGTGTGGCGTTGAGGCGCTGCTGCAGTAGCCGCCGCGTGGACTGACGCTGCTCGATTGGGCGCGCTGATAGTCATCCTCGGTCCACTGGCCGCTGCCGTCCTGCACGCTCACCGCCAGCTGGCCGGCGTATGAGTTAAAGCTGGTGGAGCCGCCGGGCGATCTGCTGAGAAGCAAGCGAAGCATTACGATACTTCGCATTCGGGCGAGGGGAGCTGAGCAGGCTTACCTGGGCATGGAGTAGAGTGCCTCGACGAGATCTGCGGCGCGCTTAAGTATGATTTCCTTCTGCAGTTTCTCCGGATCGCCGGGATGCCTGGGTATGAGCTTCTGCAGTCGCTGGAAGCCGTAGTCGATTGTGGGTTCGTTGAGAGCTGCTTGATCGATCGGAATGCAAACGGAAAGCTTAGACATGCTTCGGGCGGGGGGCTGTCGGGCAACAGTAAATATACTTACAGACATAGACGAAGCGACCGGGTGAGCCTTTGCAGAACTGTTTGCTCTTGTAGGAGAGCGTCACCTCGACCACGCCGGGTATATGTCGCGGTGGGGTTTGCACCCTTATCGCGTGCGACGTGATCAGCTCGCTCCAGACCAACATTGTGCCGAATACCACTTGCAGGCCGTCAAAGAAATTGTCGCCCACAATGATGACTGTGGCGCCACCTGTGGTCCAGCCCTCGCTGGGTGATATCGCCTTGATGCAGGGCGTGGCCACGGGCAAGGGTGGATAGAGGCCTGAAATAGAAGACTTGGTCAGTTGGAGGGTTCGTTCCACTAAGCGTTGATCGTTCAACAGAAGGAAAATCAAGAACGGGTTCGAGTTGCCAATTGCTACAGAATCAAAATGAAAATCTCTAAGAACAAAAGCGAAATAAAAGTCTTCCACAAATGGAACTAACTAAACTAACTGATCGAGTAATTGGAATTTTGTTACAGACCATCGTAGGTACTGTCGGGCGCTAGGGGGTGACCGGATATGGACAGGGATGTGTTGCCTGTACCTTCCGTGGTGTCCAGTCGCTTGGCGCGGCGTCCGTGCTTCGAGTTATTGTGCACGAACATATTGTCCGAGATGGCCAGCAGTTCTCTGTCAACGGCCACTTGGGTGGCGATTACAACCTGCGAGAGATGGCAAGTATTATAAATATTATAATGTTATAGCAATAATAGATAAGTCTATAAAAATAATTAATAGTATTTTAAAGGCAGGAAGCGGTGAAGATTTCTTAAAAAGAGTCTTGGCACAAAAAACTCTAGGGAGTATGGAACTTCTAGAATTTTAAGAGTCCTCTAAGGAGTTATAAATATGAATTGCACCAAAATTAAATGAATCTAGATATATATAGATATAGACTATATATCATGATCAGATTTATATGCCAAGAAGTTCCAAGTTTAAGTTAGGTATGTACACATATATTGAGGGTGTTATATTATATTAGATATATATTAGACATATTAGATATACTCTAGTGATCTACTAGTTAACAGAGTCATAATGCAAAGAAGTTTTAGATATGTTGAAAATTGACTTGAAAGAGATTTGTCTATAAAAATTTAGGCCTTTAACAAATTTTAATTAGAGAAAAAAATTAAGTAAATTTATGTACTCAAGAGGTTTCAGACATATGCCACTAATACTCCTCGAAATTGTATCTAGATCCTTATTTTGTATACAAAATCAGAAATTTAATTAGCTGTACTTCTCTATATATAGATTGTATATATTTTCGCACATGAAATTAAAAGAAATACCTAGGGATACTCCTACTTGAGATATTGTTTTGGTATATAGATATAATATACTAATATATATAAAAAGTATTAAACTTAATTAATTAGAATATGGAGACTCACCTGAAATCTTCGCATGTCCCGTGGGTTGCCAGCATTTTTGAGACAGTTCTGATTGCACTTTAAGAAGAACTTCAGGAAAAAGCTGCAAGTATAAAAAGATTTCAAAATCAATCATTAACAATGGAATCATTCAAGGCAGACTGTGAGGGATAAGAAGCAGCTTCGGTTACTGATTGAGTCAGACCTCTTTATAAGCTGCTAATGATCGGTTGCGCCTTTCGCAGTTGCCACTTGCCACGTTTTGTGGCAGATGTGCTGCCTCGGGCTTGAGTCAATCCACTTGCCTGCCCAAAACTCGGAACGTTGAGCTGCTGGAAAGGCTCTGCCTGCGGCGTGACAGCGCAGCGTGCGATAAACGCCGAGGCTCGAGACGTGCAGTTCGAGGGTGACAGTTATGTGAATGGGATGTCCTGCAGGCAGGATATGCGAGAAATTGACACCCGTGTGTCGCGCATTTAAATGGTAAAATACATACATATATATATACGTATACAGCAACAGCCCACGGTCTGTCGTCTCCCTCCCTCTGGCCCCCTCGCCAACGCTCGCTGATTTTATTTGCCGAAATAATATTTTGTTGCTACTGACGCTGCGGGGGTTCCCCTACACTCGATTGGCTGGCATTTTCGCAGCTTTCCTCTTTTTTCCACACTTTTTTCTCTCGCTGCTTTTTGTTGTTTTTCACTCGACAAATTGGACAAATTAGCTGAAGAGGGCGTTGCATGCTACTTGCCCAGCGCGTGGAAGGTGAGGGCACAGCTCGAAAACATCTGCATATGTGTCATAAATGAGTAAGTGTTTGTTGTTATTGTTACTGCTGCTCTTATTTAGTGTGCACCCTAAGAGGATATCCTAAAATTGTCCCTGAGCTGTTGAAAGATGTTCCTGCTGAGCTCATCTAGTAGATAGTTTGCCTAGGCTACCTCGATATGAGTTGGGAATTTGAATACGATGCCTAATGGGGTTTTACTCTGGATTATGGGAGTTAGGTTCACATAGAATTTAGTTGAGCATTTTTATGTTTTGCTATCAGGAGTTTCATGTAACATTCCACTTGAGACTTTAATTTTCTCGTAATTTAAATTTGATGTCTATGTGAAAAAAAGTATTTTATTGAGATTAATTTTTATGAAATTTTTAGTAAAAAATTAGTATCTTCTATGGTGAGCAGGTGTCTTATTTAAGTAAAATATTATTAGATAAATATAGAAAATTCCCAAATTCAAGTCTAAATGTCTCAGTTAAATGTGTATTCAAGAAGAAAAAAATAAAACCTAATTATATTATATATAAATATAGATATAGGTAGAGTATATATTCCGCATTTCAACTCTCAAATCAAGCTTTAATTATGTATATCGCTGTCGGATATCTTTGAATTTGTCAGGCCTGTTGTTGACCTCTAGGCAAAGTGTTTTACACCCATACAGAGAGACGGACAGCCAATCGGACATTATCCAGAATCCCTTTTCACTTCATGAACGAGTATCAAAAAAGCAATACGCAAATATAATAAAAAATTAGATATGTATGTTTATTTTCTTGAGTTTACGTTTATCGAAAATGCGTTTGAATGAAACCTGATTAATGAAAAATAAATTTTAATAGTTGAAAAATAAATAAATTTGAAACACAAAACAACTATTGCAATAGCTATAAATTTTGACATTTTCATTCAATTTGTATTCGATAAAAAATCACGAAAATAAAGAAATAAAAAAAAAAAAAAAAAAAAAAAAACACACACACGAGCCGCATGCCACACATGCCCCAAAAGAACATTTTGGCTTATCGCAGAATTTGAGTGCGGCGAGCGTTAGGCAAAAATTAATTATGAACTTGAACACATTTTGGACTATGAATAATGTGTGTACATATATGAATATATATATATGTTATAGCAATTGGTGCTATATGGCCACGCGAGCTGATTGTGAACTTGTTGAAATCGTGCGTATGGGGGAAGGGAATGAAAACAGATGTGTTTATGTGTGCAATGCATACATCTTTTTTTTTTGTTCTTTTCATTTTATACCCAGTGCCAACAACAACAGCAACGACAACAAGAACAACAAACAACATGAGCAGCATCATTAACAAGGCCATCGGCAATCCCCTAGGAACTGAGCGCCGTGTCGTATCTGTCAGATGCAATATCGAATTACATAGCGAGAGACTGAGAGAGAGAGAGAGAGAGAGAGAGAGAGAGGGGAGCGAATGAGACCTTCCACAGATGCAACTTTGTAATTTGAATACGTATCGAGTGGAAATTGAGAGCTGCATAGGTTAACTCATTTATGGATCATGAGCTGCACTCATAGTTATTGTTGTTGTTGCTGTCTTTGGCTAGCATCCCACCCTCGCGTTGTCAGCATTGCGCATCTTTATGGGCAGCTAATTGACTTTCTCGGAAGCATCGAGAGGAGAAGACGGCGCATCGCACGCTTGAATTACAATGTTGTCAAATATACTGACAGGACGCATAAATTGTGAGAGCTAAAAATCGTGTCGTCCCATTTGCATATGCCTAGCGCAGCCCGGAGGACACGAAGGACTGTGAGAATCCCAGCGCTGATTCAATTGAAGCCGTATCTGGATTTCGGACCACGCAGCATCGCAAACTTTATTGCGTCCTGGCCAATTAAAAATTCAGCTCGCGTCCTGCCAATAAATCAAAGTGTCTCTCCATCTTTGTCTTGGCCGTCGCCAACAAAGTATCCTGTCGTCCACCTGGCGTCGCTCTGGCTTGCTACCGACGCGAAATTTTCATTTAATGAAAAGCTACGCATCATCAAACGCCCGCACATGACATTGGCCGGGCCAACGCCAAAATGGCCAAAACGAACAAAATGGCCATGAATCGACTCCATTGGCAGCTAGAGCACGTAGAGCCAACGAAGTGCATAATTGGTCATTCATATTTGTTGTTGTTGTTGTTTTTTTTTATCTGTCTATTTCTATCTATTTTTTTTTAGGGCTAAAGCTGTCAATTGCTCGATGTGCTTGAATGCTGCTTAAGATTTTTAAGTAGTTGAGATTGAAGTTAAAGATAAGGACGATTTTATGATCTTAAAGTGAAAAAGATTTATAGGGTATACGTTGTATTATTCATATGTAATTTATAGATAGATGATAGATTCGCCAGCTGTACAAAGTTAGTAAATGCTTAGCATTTTGATTTATATATTAATATAATTTTGAAACACTGAATTCTGATTTTCCTGCAACATAATATTCATTTAACAATAGAATTTGTTTATACATAGAAAAAAAATCTGTGGATAACTACTAAAAGTTAATGGAAAAAGGACTAACTAGGTGTATTCACTGAATACATTTTTATATATGAATTTATATAATTTAAATTCTATAATTAATTTGTTAATGAACCCAAATATACTTTCTTCTTATTCAGATATGTTTCTTCATTTGTTTTATGAAAAGGAATTATTTTTAGTTCGCATGACAGATAATATGACAAATAATAATGATAATTAAATACTTAATGATCATAATATTATAACATACTAAATTCCTGATGCACAACAATAATTTGTAAACAATATAATTTCAATAGCTTTGCCTTTTGGCATTCGGCTAACAATTGAAATAAATTCGAGCCGGCTGTAAACTTTTGCAGCTTCGAGCAAATTTTGTGCCCACGATTAACTGTGAATTTGTGAATCAACAGCAACAACAACAGCAACAACAGCGACAGCAGTAAAGATAACAACAACAACAACATTGAGCTTTATCTTTGCATCGCTTTTCACAACAATTTAATGATGAATACGAAACGTGCATAAATCGTTTTGGGTTCCGGGCTTAACATTCGGGCGCTAAAGCATTCGGCGATATTATCTGAGGGCGTCAACAGGATGTAGCCGTAAGCGTTTGTGGCGCACGCCAGGCGCTTAAGCCATGGGCACAGGTGAGACTGCCCCAGCTCACCTTGCTGGCGCTGCGGGCGACTTGGCGCTAATTTTTCACTAACGATAATATTCAAAATTTTCAACTTTATTGCCGCATAAAGTCAATGACACGCACACACACACACACACACACACAGAGACAGCGACAGAATAAACTTACTTTGGCGCCATTTCCATGGCATTTGCACACAAACACAAACACCCACGCGCACACATACAAAGGCAAAAGATGGCCGCCGACGTCACCATTTTGCTGTTGTTGTTCAGGTTAAGGTTGAGAGGTTCAGGGCTGCTGCTGTTGATGTTGTTCGCTCTATTGTTGTTGGAACTTTTATTTATGCTCTTTCTCAGCTTAGCACTGCACGCTTCGCGGCGCACGCACAAGACTTCATACACACACACACACACAAATGCACAGAGAAAGTCGCAAGTCCACAGTTTACGCAAACCCCCAACGGTTACAAAGATTTCCCGTTAGCCGTCTCGATGTCGCGTCGGCACAATCCTTATCAGAATCGCACTTGCGACTTGCGAACGTCTTCGCCTTGTTGAGAGTTCATAGCTTTTGGGTCTCTTTGTATTGCAATAGACTTTGAGGGCGGATTTTGTTGTTGTTTGTTTGGTGTTGTTGTCGTTGTTGTTGTTGTTACGCTTTCGATTTCATTGTGGTTCATCCGGAAGAGAACCACATTAGCATGGAACTTGTTGAAAACACTTTCGCTTAGCCTTCAGCAACCATATGCCGACAGAGCGAGAGAGAGTGAGAGAGAGAGAAGAGTGGAGAGCAATGAGCATAGAGCCAAAAGAGAGAGAGAGAAGAGGCAAAGAGAGCGCGAGCGAGAGCGAAAGTGAATGAGTGAGTGCTTGAGTGAATTTTCGGATATCTTTTGAGTGAAGCTTTGCGTGCGTTCATTTTCGTGAATGAATCTAAACAAGTGCGAAGGGGGCGGCTGCTGCTGCTGCTGCTGCTTTCGAGTTGTGTGTGTGTGTGTGTGTGTTGGGGGTTGCTTTGGGACTCAGTGTCATGCCGCTGGGACCAGGGAAATACCTCGTAACTGTTGTTGTTTTTGTTTTTTCTGTATTTTTCTTGTTTTTGTTTTCACGGGACGAAGAAGGCAACAACAATGGCAGCTTTTTCTTTTTGTTTGCG